TTATAATGTGTGGAGAGGGCTTAAATAATTATGTAATAACTTGTGCCCGATCCGTTTGCTTGTTTGCTGGCAATAAAATATGTTTAAACTATACCTAAATGTTAGAATTATTGAGGAGTTTACCAGACCAAGAAAATAGGGATATGCTTGGAGTATGAGTAAAATTCAAATAGCAGGTTCAAGATGTAACAATCGGAAAAAATAAATAAAAACAATTATATTTTCCTAGAGAAATTCAATACAAATTTTCTCTCTGTGGACGATTTTTTAAAAACACCTTCAACGCATGCAGATGGAACGTGCCATCTACAGCACGATATAATTGCTATGTTGATTGTTCTGCAGCGCATATCTTAAAGTATTTATGATAACTAAACAACTGGTAAACATACAAGCTTCACTACCAGTGACATTGCTAATGTTTCATGTTCCGAGTTTCCAATATTGATTCTCCTCTCTGCGTCATCAATCAGCATCACAGATGGTTTTGGAGAATAAACAAACAGCGTACCTTTCTTCATTATTATACAGGGTAGAATTGGAAATCAAACAGTAAACCTTTTCAAGGACAGGGAACATGGAGTTAAAAACCAACATATTCATCAAGGTAAGGAAAGACAACATAAAATATGTATTCTTACAATAAACGCATAAAAATGTGCATCCTTTTCTAACCAATATGGTTGATAGCAAAGTGGTAACGCACTTTTCTTTAACCTTGTAGTGCATCAGATGACCTACATGGCACTATAAATTTTTCCCGAGTGCTTCAGTTTTCTCTCAAAGCTTCCATCAAAACCCACAAGAGAATTATTTATTCAATCATACCATTTATATATCAATGATATGTAGCAGATGGTACGGATGCATGATCAAAATTAAACTGTCTTTTAAGACTAGCATATTGGTAATCAATTAATGTTTTTTGAAGATATTGAAGAGACACGGATATGGGTTGCTTTCATGAAACATTTTAGAAAAAAAGTGTTCATATTACAAAATTGATGAAATGGATGTAATGGCTAATGGGTTCAAAAGGTTCTGCGTCATAAAGTAAAATCTTCACTTGAATCTTATTTTAAAAAATAATTAAACCGACTCATGTTCGTAGGCTATCAGGCCTGAGAATTCATCAAATTTTGCTCTTCATCAATTTTATAATTATACCCTGACTGTCACAAACACATAGGGAAAGAAAGGGACTGTAGGCATGATCCAGACTGGAGATTCTCGGTGTGGATGACAGAGTTTGGTATCAGTAACTATACAACTTGTTAGTTGTTATGCCGTTTAAACAAAAGTTGGTCAACACCCGAATGTCCGCAAGGCAACGGCTAAGGATGACCATCGTATATAATTAATTTAGCGCAGTCAATTCACAACCGCAGTAGAGACAAGTATTATATTGTTTGGTCGTCCCGTGTCTGCCAAAGCAGTCTGCAAACACGAAGTCATCGTTATTATTGCCGTAATTGAATCCTAGGTACACCGCAGGTAGACCTGATGATAATTTCAGAGGATGTCGTAATAACAAAATGAAAGGCGTTATTACGACATTTTTCGCGTTATTACGACTTTTGAAAGGCGTTATCACGCTTTTATTCGCGTAATAACGCGATAATACATTTTTCCCTTCGGAATTTGACCTTTCTAAGCTTTCGTAGCGCAGAATGTAGAGGCGACGAGCGGAACGGGTTTTTTTTAATTGCTGCGTCGCAGAACCGGGCTGTTTTGGCGGGAAAGTGTTATGATGTGGGCTATTGGAGGGTGGAATCGTACTAGAGTTATATTAATCGTCATTTTACCTGACATTCGGGCACAAAGACAAAATTCTAATGTACCATTAGTACTACCTGTGAACTTAGAACTTACCTGCAGCAAATAGAACTACAGGTGTCCGAATGACTATCGAAACCTCCGGATTTGTCACCGATTGAGTATGTTTGGGACGTTCTTAAGCAACGCATGAGCATACGTCAAAATCAATGGTCAAACTTGCAGGAGCCGGAACTAACTTTTGCATAAATCTTATTCTGTGTTTACCACATCTGAATAATAACTTATCACATGCTTTAGGGCTCTCTTAGAACTAATCTATCTTTGCTGTTTTCTTAGAACTAGACTATAGTAATTTATTATCATTACCAACGTTCTACTGCAGATCGTTTAGCTTTTAACTCATTATTTTCAACTCAAAAACATATCTGTATGTTTCTTTATAATATTAGTTCATTCGAAATCTTTAATAAGTTATCCATTGTCCGAATTACCATGGAGCGAAACATCTGCTTTTGACCATATAAGACAGTATCTCGGTGAAAAAAAATTCAACGACATGTTGCAAGACTCTTAAAGAGAGTGCAGCCTTTATAAGGATTGTATAAAAGGCATAAAAAAGAATGTTTTTACTTTTCGTCTTACCAAATTGCTTCCTTCTTTAATTGAATGGCTAATATCAGCGAACACGCTATTCTTGCTAATAAGGTCGATCCAATTTTGTGGTTGAAATGTATTTTTTCAACATTTATTTGAACAATCTAAAAATGGCATTAAGGGCGTGCATTTCTTTTCTTCCACACTCTGGAAATTTCAAAACATACGTTTTCTTCGACAGAAAAGATATACAAAAATTTATACAAGAGCTCCCTCAAGGATCTTGGCGCCAACCATTGTTTAATCTTTATTTGTTCTTTCAAAACTGGATCGTTTCTCTTCTCTCCCCTGTTACAGCAATAGTAATAATTAACTGCCAAATCCAAGATGGTTGACTGGCAGACATTTTGTTTTCCTGATCAGTCGCGAAATCAAAAGGACACAAATAGGAATCAAGGGAAACCTACAAATGAAATTGGAGAGAGATCAATGCAGTAATTCACAAGAAATAGCGATAACAAAATTTCTTTGTCAAAATCCAATATGAAGGCCACCTATCGGTCATTTTGTTTTATCCTGATTAGGCCTAAAATCATACAGGCACAACTAGGGACAAATGAGGACATCCATACGAAATTTGACAGAGATCTTTTCTCAAGAAATAGCAATAACAAACTTTACAAGGCAAACTCCAAGATGGCCACCTGTTAGCCATTTCGATCAAATTCAAACGGGCACAACTAGGGTCTAAGGGAAACCTACATGTAAAATTTGAAAAAGATCTATAGGGTAGTTCTCAAGAAATAGGATAACAATATTTCATTGTTGAAATCTAAGATGGCTGCCTGTCGGCCATTTTGTTTTCCTGATCAGTCCAAAAATTAAACAAGCACAACTTCAGACCAACAGAAAACTACATATTATGAAATTTGAAAGAGATCGGTCGAATACTTTTCAAGAAATAGTGATAACCATCTTTGATAGGCAAAACAAAGATGGTCGCCAGTCAGCTACCGGTATAGACATCCATCTAGTGCTTTCCTAGAAATAGCAATAACAAACTTTACTAAGCGAAATTTAAGATGGTGGCCTTTCTTACCAGTCAAAATTCAAAAGAGCACAACTAGGGACTATAGGAAACTTTCATCGTTGAAATCCAAGATGGCCGTCTGTTGACCATTGTTTAATCTGATTGGTCCCAACATCAAACAAGCGCAAGTAGAGACCAAGGGAAACCTATAAGACAGATGTACTACACTCAGATGGACTGATGACTAAACATGGAAACAAGGGAATTTGAATAGCCCTGCCCCCATCTCTTGATGGTGACAAAGATTCTTTGTCATTCTAGGACATTGCTTAGTGCCTGAATTGTTGAAAACTAGGACATTGTAAAGTGCTGAAAATTATAGTAATCTTGGGAGTGACAGAAAAAAAAATCAAAAATTGTTCGAAACAAACATAAACTAGAAAATGTCTGTAAGACATGAATGCCCCCAACACTGCATGAGGTCTTTCCATACTTGATATTTGTATGAAGTTTCATGAAAATTGCCTTCCAAATGAAGTTGTTAGGTGGTATATACTGATTTGGGATGCGACGCGACGGGACGGGACGGGACAAACGGACATAAAAATAAATGGCGGGGGCATAAAAATCAGACAGCGAGGTGCACTAACTGCAAAATTCATTAGAATAAAATTATTTCAAAAGAACTTCAAATAAATATGCATATTCTGAACCATTGACATGCATTAAGATGGAATGCAGATTAAAGTATACCTTGGAGACCTCAAGTCTACCAGCAGATTCTACCAAAGACACACATACAAATATCTCATTACAATATGAACTTCCCTACATCCATGATGCAAATTGCAAAAAGGGAGTGTCAACTTGATATCTGAAATGATTTAATGTTGTCAATCTAACAATGCACAAAAGTCAGATTTGATGTTCATGGAAATGCAGGGAATTCTAAATGTTTGACTTTCAATAAGCTAACAAGATTGTCATTGCTGCAACAGACATAAACATCTGCTATCATTTTTTTTCTTCAGTAGCAAAATTAAAGTTAAAAACAGAATCGATCATTGACTATCCACATATTGACAACAGAGTTGAGATGTAATGGAAGTGTGACCACACTATCTGAGATGAGTATATATTCAACAGTTATGAACCCTTTTTTCCTAAATTGCACTACAAATTGAATATCATACAAAGTTTGCTGATGAAGAATAAAGGAAAGTTTTATGGTTGTAATCATGATCTTGTTTGTAAATATCTGATTTCTTTGTGTGCACTGAAGCACCAGTTGTATGATTCTCATTAGTAAGCCTGGTCGTTATGTTGTTTACCTAGTTCTCATTTTGGAACATGACGTTACTTTTTTAGATTAACTGAAATTTACATTGTGGACGTTGTCCATGAAGCAGAAGATGCTTATCGTTTTGGAACACCTGGTCTTATTCTCGTGGTATCCTTTCAGAAGTCTCCATGTAAATCTTTCTTTTTATCTTGTTTTGCAATGATTTCATCGAATTTGTGTTCAGATTATGTTAACATATCTGTACTTTCTCGTCGTAATTGTAATTTCTGATTTTGAGTTGAAGAACAAAGACACTTTAAAGATTCTAAATTTTTTTATTTCTTAAACATTAACTGAACAAATCTGGTGGTAGGTCTTTCTTCCACGGAAAGCTTGTCTGTGTACCAGGTGACTGAACACTAACTCCTGCCACCACAGTAGACCTCTTAATGACCTCTTTAATGGTCAGAGAGGGGTTGTTTGTTAGATAGTATGCCAAGGCTCCCACAAACGCATCACCAGCACCCTAAAACCCATACAAGTGCATTGATTAAAGACATGTGCCTTTTACTGGATGCAGTTTTCATCATTTTGAAAAGAATCTGTTCAAAGACTGAAAATTTATCGCTGGTGCAGTTCCCTATATATACCATACACACTGCGTACTTGGTAAAGTTCTGAGTAAGTTAACAGACGGGATTTCTCCCAGTTTTTATTTCATTTCTGGAAGTAGATTCAATATCTTGATTATTACCTGAAGATATATATGAACCTCTAATTTACATGTTTAGAAATTGGAAAACTTTTTGAAATTAATTACTTGGATATCAGTTTTCCCTTCTCGAAACACTGTGTCTATTTATTTCATACAAATTGATCTGAAATATCATATTTTTATATCCATTTGGTAAAAAAAATATTCTGTATGAATGTTCCCATAGATTTATTTATTAAAGCACCTGAAAATATTGATCATCACTTGTTATCTTATCTCACTGAAAAATCATATTTTTATGAGGCTAAATTTTCACGGTTTTTAAAAAAAATGACGATTTTGATTCTGTGGATAATATAACTCAATATATCTACTTATGCAAGGTGTACTTATTTTAACAGTTTGCGGACAGATGAATTTATGGATTAAGAACACCCACAAAATCAACAAAAATAAATCCCCCGTGAAAATTTATCGTTTTTAGTATTGTATTGTAATATTACGTGACGTCCTAGTTAGTCATTAAAACTAATTCCCAACCCCTCTGATATACTGTATCTGAAGTTTGAATGAATTGTTACCTCGACTGTAAAATGTATTAGTGAAACAGGTATTTACTTACAGTGGTATCAACTGCTGTGACAGATTGAGCTGCCACATGGGTGGGCTTTGGTTCGTCCTTGGAAGCAAACACTGATCCCATGACTCCTAGTGTGAGTATAACTATTCCACATCCTTTGTCTAGCAAAGCCAGTGTAGCTTTGCATGCATCCTCTTCAGTCTTAACAGGTAAACCTGTAAGGATCTCTACCTGAAAACAACTATCGAAACTATATCAATATCTGGCTGACTGATATTATGTCATCAATTTTTATTTGTATTGCGCCGTTTGGTTCATGAGCAGAAAGTCATTCTAAGATTTTTACACCTTTGAACCCTGTTTCAGACTTTGAAAGGGGTCAAGGTCATTCATTTGAACAGTCTTGAAAGCTTCTCCTCTAAGCATATTGCTAGCCAAATATCATAATGCAAGGCATGTTGTTCCTTTTCCCAAGCATGTTACTGGCCAAAGTAGATGACCCTTGACCTTTTGATTATTAATAAGATCACTGTGGGCTTGAAAAAGGATTGATATCACATTAGAACAGACCATGAAGCCCTTTATCTCATTAAGCACCATGATGTATTTTCAGCTATGACTTTTGAGAACTCTCAGCACATTTTATCCCTGTGACCTTAGAGTGGGTCAAGGTCATTCATTTAAAGAAAAATTTAACCAAGCATACTGTTGGACACACATCATGATCCTAGGCTTCTAGAGTTGGAAAACTTTTTTACGCATTTGACCCCTATGATCATGAAAGCTAATTTATTTGACAAAACTTGAACAGCCTTCATACCAATATGCCAATGACCCAATATCATGGCCATTATATGCCTTCATTGTGAAAAAAATTGTTAAAAATAAAACATTTAACCATTATAAGTGAATCAATGTCACTCACTTGAACAAACTAGAAAGTCTTCATATCAAGATGTTACTTGTAATATATCCGGACAGCTGGGCATTTTTGTTGCTAATATCATTTGAAATTGTTTACATATTGAACTCACGGTGACCTTGAAAATGGATCAAGGACAACTTTGTATCGTGCAACCTGCCAGAAATCACTATTATGGGGTCTTTGAGTTATTCAGCAGAATTTAGTTTGAAGACTTTATCATTTTTGATGAACCTGATATTGAAAGTTGTTCAAGGCAATCTATTTCATAAAGCTTCAAAGTCCTTCATCCAATTCATCGAAGCATGCTAATGACCCCATACCATGACTTTGGGCCTTCATTAGGTATTGAGAAGAAGTTGTTTAAGGATTTCAACACATTTAATTTTGTTAGTGTGTCCATGTCATTCATTTCAACAAACTTAAAAATTTTCCTTTTAACAACTTCCTGACAAAATACAAAGACGTTTGGTTATCTAAAATATCATTTAAAAAATTCTATCACATCTCACTCAAAAAAAAACCAAACAAATTGTGTCAAGGTAATTCATGTGGAAAACAGTAATCCCTCCATCCAAAATTGCTCCTTGAAAAATACCATTAACCTGTGTACTTTGGTTAACTAGCCAAGTTTAAGGGATTGACCTCAGATCCAGACTATATTTCAAATCTGTTCTTACCAGGCAACTTTTGGCATTCAAAATCTGCCCCCGAGATCTTATACATGGAAATGTACAATTTCATTTTCATAATAACAAATGATTTGTTAACCATAGAAAACTACACTGACATTCCTCACATGATGTAGCCAGCACTACCCATACAATATATGCCTATAGTTACCTCTGTTTCATTGGCACAGAAGATGTCGCATTCGGTAAAAAACTCGTCAGACAGTCCAGATTGTGCTGGAGCTGGATTGAAAATACTCATCACTGAAATTAAATGAAAACAACCTAAATTAAATCGTTTTTTTTTGCTAGAATTCAAACCGAAAAGAAAAAAACAGAACTCTCCCTCCCCACTCTATATATCCATAAAAAAATTGTCTTATTTCGGTTTTTTTCTTTTGATCACCATACCTTTGTGTTTTTTGGCCAGTTTCAAAGCTGCAAGTGTAGACTGAGCAGGTATCTCCAGTTGACAAATGACAATTTTGGTCTCCTTGACAACAGCCTCGGCAGCCCTGACATCATCCTCTGTTAGCAAAAGGTTAGCTCCAGCCACAATAACTATTGAATTCTGTCCTGAAAATTACCAAGGACTGAATAAACTACCAATCATATTACTTATTCACAAGAAAAAAAAACAACATTTTTCATCAGTCTGGATACCTAATCTTAATTCTGAAACCACACTTCAGAACTGAAATGAATTTTTTTAACATATGACATTATCACAGTTTTGTAATACAATTCAATATATACATGATGTGCTTCAGAGATTCTTTAATATACAAATATACATATGTTTTTTCATCGTTCCATCAATCATTTCTGTAAGTTCACTATATACTTTTCCTTCCCATTACTCTGTGTGAACAATGTCACCGCTACTTATAACGACTGTCATTTCTATCCCAAGACATTATAAGATCTATTAAAAACAATTCAGCAATTCCTGTCTAACTTTAAGTTTATCAATTTAAAAATCTACCCAGAAAAGACATACCAGTCAACAGTCATATACTCTAACTATCAGACCATAATTAATCCCTTCTTGATAATATGCCCATCCACGCCAAGTTAATAGAAATTCAGACAAAATCATTGCCCTGCAATAAGATGACTTCTGTACTTGCAGTCAGAGAAAGTTTATATCAACCCTGGGCTTGTTGCAGAATAATACAGGAGTGCTTTTACGGTAGAACTTTTTCTAATGCAAATTTTGTAGCCTGAAAAGAATTGTGTCATGTGCATTTAGCAGTGATCAGTTAGTTTGTGTTTGTGAATTTTTTTGTATGAACAATTCTAAAATGGAAATAAAAAGAAACCCTTACCGTCCTGATTTACACAGATAGGTGCGACACCTGTGCCAGCTTTAGAGGTAACTCCAACATGCTCTGAAAAATATTGGTAACAAGAAGACACAACCATCAATAGAGGACTAGTTTTCAGGTTCATTACATAAAAACAAATCATTTAAACTTATGAATGACCATAAAATGATGGTCAAAATTATCATCCCAAACAAGAATTTTGTAAAAGCCTTGTTGCATTATCCATGTATTGTATAGGTGAAAATAATTTTACAGCATATAAAAATTCCAAAACATGAATATTATATTATTATAAACACTTCTATCATATACACCATACACAGTGTTCCCCATTACCCCCAAATGAGGGTACAAAATGCCCCAATTTGGTGAAATTCAAGACCTGTACCCCCCCTCCCCCCGTCAGTTTTCTTCAAGTACTATTATATATACATACATTGTTAGGGTTACACTGTATGCCTGGTTTCAAAAGGCCTGGGGGGAACACTGATATACATGTACCAGTAATAAATGACAGAAAAATTTTATCATTTTAAGTACCAGGTGTAACTTACCTATCATCACTTCATTATCCTTGAAATTCTGAATGTAATCTTTTCCAAAAGTGTCATCTCCAACCTAAATTGAAATTATAAAGACTACCTAACTGCTAAACATTATTGTAACACTATTACCTATAAAACCTGTCAAATAACACCAGTCATTCTATAAAACCTGTCAAATGACACCAGTCATTCTATAAAACCTGTCAAATGATACCAGTCATTCTATAAAACCTGTCAAATGACACCAGTCATTCTATAAAACCTGTCAAATGATACCAGTCATTCTATAAAACCTGTCAAATGATACCAGTCATTCTATAAAACCTGTCAAACAATACCAGTCATTTTACAAAACCTGTCAAATGATACCAGTCATTCTCTAAAACCTGTCAGATAATACCAGTCATTCTAGTTAGCCTGTCAAATGATACCAGTCATTCTATAAAACCTGTCAAATGATATCAGTCATTCTATAAAACCTGTCAAATGATACCAGTCATTCTATAAAACCTGTCAAATGATACCAGTCATTCTAGTTAGTCTGTCAAATGATACCAGTAATTCTATAAAACCTGTCAAATGATACCAGTCATTCTAGTTAGCCTGTCAAATGATACCAGTCATTCTATAAAACCTGTCAAATGATACCAGTCATTCTATAAAACCTGTCAAATGATACCAGTCATTCTATAAAACCTGTCAAATAATACCAGTCATTCTAGTTAGCCTGTCAAATGATACCAGACATTCTAGTTAGCCTGTCAAATGATACCAGACATTCTAGTTAGCCTGTCAAATGATACCAGACATTCTAGTTAGCCTGTCAAATGATACCAGTCATTCTATAAAACGTGTCAAATGATACCAGTCATTCTATAAAACCTGGCAAATAATATCAGTCATTTCATTTATATTCTTTAGGAGACAGTCTCTCTTATTGTAGATGTCTGATCTTTTATAATCAGTTGACATAATCATTTTCAATCATCAAATTACAAATCTGAATTTTTAAAACTGTGATTGTTTGGAACAGATTTTATTTTACATAACATTGTAAAATTGTGATTATATGTAAACAACACAGACCACTGATTTTATTAACAGAAAACATATTTAAATCTCACTGAAATATATTGGTTTGTCTATTTTCCCTGAATTTGCTTTAAATGCTTTATTTAGTAATAGTTACATATTTCCATATTTCCAGAATGTGAAATCTTTTTTTGTTGAAATCAAACTCTACCATGTTTAAGTAAAACTTTGGAAACTTAACACACACAAAAATAACAAGCTACATAGTACAATATTGCTTATAGGCTGGAGTCTCTTCTTGCCTCAACATCAGACATTTATAACATCTAATATTAGGGTCAAAGTATACTCTTGTTACTTAAAGATGTCCAATCGTTGCTTGATATGACAGTGATCGATACCTTTGCTACCATAGCTGTTCTGGCACCCAATCGTGCTGCAACAATACACTGGTTAGCTCCCTTGCCACCAAATCCTATTGCAAATTTGGTACCGTGGAGGGTCTCGCCTGGTTTAGGTAATCTTGGTACATAGCTAAAAATTGAAGAAAATATTCATATTTATGATACCATAAATACAAAACTGGTTCAAAAAACAGTCAACGGGTAAGCTTACACCATTAAGAAGGCATTGTGCACAATTGTTGCCTTTTCTTAAAACACTATTATATACATGTGAACAAAGTTCACACAGATCTAAGCAAGCACTGTGTATATTTGTCATTTTTTTCTTTAAACATTCAATATTCGTCCACAATGCTCACATACAAGATGTAGCTTTTTACAACATTCGGTCTTAAGTATTTTTTAGGAATAAAAGAGGTCATCTCAATTGGGTCTGTGCCCGCCCACCTTCCCTCAAGTACGTAGGAGTAAGAAATGGAGAACATATTAGGGAAAAAAGATGTATGGAAGAAGTATTTCCTTTTAACCCTCATCCCTCACTCAACCTTACATTAATATTGCACATGTAGGCTGAACGATGTGCAAAAAAGAAATCAGTATATTAATATTTATAAAAGGCGCAGGCCAACCACAAATTACAGTGGGTATAAAGAAGGTATGAAATGCTGGGAGTTCTGTTTTATAGAAAACATCACCTTATAATTATTGGATATATGTCCGGAATATATATGTCAACAAGAATCAGAATGCATGCATGTTATAAACTACGAATCAATCTAACAAATTACCTGACGAGATCCGTCATGCAACTTCCTATAACTGTCACGTCCATATTTCTGTAGATATATACTACCGAAAATATCAAAGCTGTTCAGGAGCCAAAAGAAGGCGTTCCTTTCTAGCCAGCTGTATTCCGACAGTCGGAAACCCTTTAACTTCATCATTACTTTCCACCTATCTTACAACGATCTTGGTTAGATCAGAGCTTCGAAAGTTGTGTGACTTACAAACGTTTAAGCGAAATTCATTGCGTTGAGGCGAGCAAGGCCGCATGCAAAGAAAAAGAAGAAATGGTAAACAACCATGCAGAAATCAACATTGAGTGAGGGTGATGATGAAAGATTCTCTCCTGTTAAATCGAAAGGTATTCCAAGATCATCTAATCCTGCTATAGGATATGTTAAACTTCTGAATATACTAACTTAAGGAAAATATCCTCTGTAAGGGGTCTAAATTAAATGTCTGTTATTATTTTGATTTAGGTTCTCCAGCATCAATTCAGAAGTCCGCTACCTTAACAGGAAGTTGTAGAAAGGTGAAAGACACCGTGGCTGACCTTCATAATCTGTGTCAAAAGTGGTTAAAGTTCAACAATGAGGGGTCAGCAGCTATCAACGAGATTGCAAACGTCAAGCTGCAGGCTATGTGAGTAAGCTTAAATGCGAACGCAATTCAACGAGATAAACATCGATTATTAGCATAAACACATTGCTAGTAGAGCAACGGAGTCATACTTTGTTGAACCAGAGACATATATAACACATATATACGTCTCTGGTTGAATCATATCCGCATGAAAGTCCATTTCTGTAATAGAATTGTGTAAATATATATTATTTAAATCTCTTGATTAGATATTAAATTATTTTCCTGTTTCAAAGCAGAATAACTCATTCCGATACATTTGCATTTAAAGCTTTTCAATTATCTGAATCCTTGCTAGATTTAAAGAAGAAGAATCTAAAAGAAATGAGGATGGAGAGGCTTTGACAAAAACAGAGATGCCAGAAGTCTTGGAAGACCATTGTACCAAAGTGTTAGGCATTGTTGACAAAATGGTAAACATCAACAAAACTTAATTCATTCAAGTGAATATCATTGTTTACTGGAAGAAAATAATTTACCAAAAGTACATTGATAACAATGATATAAATGACATTTGAAAAAAAAAGCTGGCTGGACAACCTAAAGGAGAATAATTTGATACAAAATGCTCAATTTAGATAAACATATATGTATGATTAACATCACGGTGACTTGTGTCCATGTAAAATGCAGTTATTGAGAAAAGCCAGAGTTAGTCTGACATCATATATAAGCTGGTAATAGACCTTGCATGCCTATAAGCTAGTATATCAGGAAGATGGAATAGGATCTGATCAAATTTATGTAGCCTTTGTTTGTGTCTTTTCCTGGAAAATGATGTGATGTTATTACCAATGTAAACCTAGTTTCGGGATCAATGAAAAATGTAAATTTATATATAGTTATCTTATATGGTGATATGCCCATATAGGAAGATATCATAAAATCATTTTGAAATGTTTTTTTCCTAGCAGTGTCCTCTGTCTGCTGTAGTTTCATAGAAAATAAATTCTGCATGAGTTTTTAGCTCACCTGGCCCGAAGAAATTCTTTAAAATCCTGCTCTTGTAGGAATGAATAGACAGTTCCCAAATTTAGTCTGAAGTATTCTTCAGTATATAAATTGTGAATTCCAGCCCCCTTGGGTGGGAGGGATGTGGCCCAATTGGGGAACAGAGCAATTTCCTTAAAGCCCTACTTCTCCATTAGGAATGATAAGATATGGCCCAATTTCGTCAGAAGTATTCTTGGGTAAAGAGGAACAAAGTCTATGTAAGGATTGGTTCTCAGTCCCCAGGGGACCTTAGGGGCAGGCCCAAAAGGGGAAATTTTGCAAGTTCTTCAAAATCTTACACCTCCTATGAGAATAAATGGATATTGTCCAATTTGGTGTGAAATATTCTTGGGTGAAAGGGACAAAGGTCTGTATAGACGATGATCCAGGCCACCAAGACAGGAAGAGAGGGCCCAATAAGGGAAATTCAAAATTCTGAAAAGTCCTTCCTCCATACAAGCCTATTGTGCATGTTTTGTCTGAAGTATTTTTTATGAATAATTATAATCAGGCCTCTGTTTGACCACAAAGGGCGGGACCCAATATGATCATTATATCAGAAATTGTTTGTCATATTTGAAATTCTTTGTTAAATGGCTGAATAGCTAAAATAGCCAGCATGCCCTTTGGGGTTTTTGCTTGTTCAAAGTTTTATCCATAACCCTCCTCTTGAAAATGTAAGTAATAAACACATCTTAATGGATTCCTATTGATTTTATTTTCTAAAGTTTTTGCATTGTAGAGTCAAATGTTTTATTTCCTTGTGTTTTATAGAGAAAACTTGTTGATAAGATGGAAGCCATGGCAGGAATCTTACATGGTGTTGCTGACTTAGAGCGACACAAAGTGCAGTGTACTTTGTCAGATTCCGGTCCAATCCTTTTCCAAACATGGAAAGTTGAAGACTATGGTAAGGTTTAAATTTTTGTGTTTTATAGAGAAACTTTACAGTTTTATCTGTTTTAACCAAACCCTTTTAATCCAGAAGCTGTTATGAAGAATGAGATGAGAAGAGGGGGCAATAGGTTTATGCTCTGGATGGCATATGACTGGCCTCCTATGTGTTTTTGTTGAAGTAGCCACCAGCTACTTTCTGGAGTTCTGGAGACCCAGACTCACAATAAACATGGCTGTTGATGGGGTGATAAAACCAGAAAACAAACTATCACTTTGTATAAATAAAATTTCATTGTTGTCCTTTTTTCATGTAGGTTGGACATGTCTATTTCAATAAGTCTGTCTATTCCACACAAAATGATATATTCTGGTCAAAGTTATTATATACTTATTATATACTCTTTGTATAAAATTATAGTCAGGTTTTCTCAATGTTTAACCCACTATCATCTTTGAAATTTGGCATGTTTCACTCACTGAGGTCTAACATAAAATTAAATTGAAAATGTAAAACCTTAACATCTATAAAATCAAATCATATGAACATTTTGAATTTAAAACAACGATAACCCTGAAGTTGTAGGGGACATAAATGTTGATTTATCTGCAGGTGTCATACTTTTAAGTATGCCAAATAGAAACATGGCATCTAAGGTTGTTCCCTACAAACAAGGCCATAAATTGTTTATTATTATGACAAAATAAACAAATTAACTGTGTAATCAACATTTACATTGATGATGGAGACATACCATGGCCATGTTGGTACAATTTACAGTTCAGGTTCTTGCCAGTTTCCTTTCTCTGAAACAGGTCATGATCGCTGAAGCATGTGTTGTTTTCTTGGTACCTGTGCATTCTTGTTTGTTTAGCTGCATCCTTTCTGATGTCTTTTATATTGTCACGCTATTTTCCTGTTCTCTCATTTGCCTTTGACAATAACCAGTGGAAGGGTGACAACTCAGACATGATATAACATAAGTTCACCATGGTTGTACATGCTCAAGGGAAATGAAATGTTCAATTTTTCTTAAGGAAATATTTTCACTTCATTTCACTGCCATATTTAACTTTTTTTTTTTATTCAATTAGTGACACATTTACAAAGATGAGGTATTATACTACACATTAAATATTCCCAGGTACTTTTTCTGTCAATTATAGCACTTTTAGAAAATATAATTTAGTAACGAATTACATATCTGTTACATGTATTAGAATTTTACCATGAGTGAATATTTATCAACAATATTTGTTGTTTCTTTTACAAAATCAACAAATTTTCTTATATTGTTGTTTTGTTTTCTGCTTTTTTTTGTGCAGGAGAGGCCACTTTGAAGATGTTGGAATCATACAGAAATGAATTGAAATTGAAGGAGCTGTTGTCTGAGAATGTTTGTCATGTAAAGGATAGGGACACCATGATGTTTTATACAGCGGCTTGGGTGCATCAGCCTTATATAGACAATAGCTGTACACTACTTCTAGAGAGTATGCTGACCGAAACTGGACATAGATGATACATGTTTAACTCAAATGTGCCGTTCCTATTCTGGCCTCCCAGAGTTACCTCCCTTCGTTTTACTCTTTCAGATGGCATAGTAATAGCTGATGGAGGTTGAAAATGGTCAGTCCATACTATTAGAGAACTCTTGTACCACCAGTTCTGGGGTTATATTTGGAAAATATTCAAAGATGGTGGTTCCAGATGGAGTTACTTTTAATGGTGTATTTCCATTTAGGGCTCCGATTCAAGATGAATAAGACCAAGGTAATGATCCCAGGTCCAAATCTTGAAACTCTAAGAAGATCTGGAAAGTATCCATGTGCTGTCTGTCTCAACAGTACAGGAAGAAACTCCATCCTCTTCACAAGTTGCTCTATTTTGGATGCATCAGAAGTGTAGTGGAATCAAGGGACCCCTCAAGTCTGACCCGAACTACAAGTGCCCTCGCTGCAATGGACTTGCTTGTCCCATCGATGGTAGACCCATGCCAGAGGTAACAGTTGATGAGGAAAAGCTTGAAGTAGTAACAGACTTCTGCTACCTTGGTGATATGTTGTCATCTGGAGGTGGATGTGAACTTGCTGTAACAACAAGTTGCAAGTCACCGTGGAAAAAGTTCAGAGAGCTGCTTCCAGTCTTAACAAGCAAACATCTGCCTATCACAACAAGAGGTCGCCTCTACTCAACCTACATTAAACACGTGTTGCTGTATGGCTCTGAAACATGTGCAGTAACAGCTGTACTCTTAGGAGGTTTCAGTGCAATGATAGAGCCAGTAACAGCTGTACTCTTAGGAGGTTTCGGTGTAATGATAGAGCCATGATGAGATGGATCTGCCTTGTCAAACCGGAAGACAATGTTCCCATAGAGTGTCTTCTCGCTCAGCTAGACATCAAAGATATCTCAGAAATTCTCCAGACTAGCAGGTTGAGATGGTTTGGCCAGTAGAATGCAGTGAAGGATGGATATCAAGGATCCATACCCTAAATGACACTTGTCATCGGGGCCTTGGGCAGACCAAAACTGACCTGGAATGACCTAGTGAAACGGGACTGTACATCCCGAGGTATGAGTGACGCTAATCCACTGGATCGCTGAACATGGAGAGGGAGACTTTGTTCTCGACTGGACAGGATTAATCAAAGGCCTGGATAATCTATACTGGTTAATGATGATGATGATGATGATGATGATGATGATGAAATTCCTTTTTGTCTGTCCTGATATAGCAATTATGAATGCTGTCAGCTGCATGTTTATAAAGTACTTAAAGATGGCATGAAAGCAACCTTAGTGACATATTGGGAACATGTTCAGTATGAATTTTACATCTAGTTATGCTTACTGATGATAAACGCTTGATCAGATGTTAGAGATGGCTACTCATTTCTGCTATACTTCAATAAAAACTGAAGGAATTTGGACTATTTTAGGTTTTATTTTATTGTATGTTCTAGCAACGCATATTTCCAGCTCGACTGGATAATCAAGATAACCATCAAGGCCCATTTTCAAGTTTGGTCTTTGAAGTTGGTTACTTTTATAAACCAAAAGTTGCTGGAAGGATCTTCAAAACTTTTCCGCTTTAGGACTTGAAAAACTAACCTTATGTGACTTTTTGTGGCCACTCCTCTTAGAAAATTTAATTTCTTATTGTTACCTAGGTGGCAGGTGGCTTAATGTTCCTATTTGTATACATGTCACAGCAGCATGGTACCATTTCATGGTCAAAATTTTTGTTATTTTCTAATAAAAAAGTCAAATTGGAAAAGAAAATATCGAAAATATTATCCCTACAAAAATGAGGGCTATGTGGTCATTTCTTTTTGATAAAAAATGTGTAAGTTATGAAAAGTTGTTATAAAACGTTTGTATTATTGTAAGATATGATCAATTTAGTAAATGTCTTAAAGATAAAATACCAGATAGTACTTCATTACCTCCAACTTATTCGTTTTTTACACAAATTAACATCAAATAACCAAATAATCCAGATTCAAGAAAAAAAAAAGAAAAAACAGATTCCTTTAATCTCCTATTCATTTATGTTATGGCATGACCTGATAGAGAGATCAACTAGGGGATCTATTATTGCTCTTTGATGTTTGCGAAAATTTGGAATTTTCTTGTTCAAATTGTACCTTATTTATTCATTTCATTGTTTTTTTTGTTTTTGTTTTTATGAATCCTGGTTTGTTATGTCAAAGATAATACTGCTATTGTTTTGTAAATTTTCTTATCTCAGTTTTTTGTCTTAATTTTTTTTTCACTTTTATTGTCAGAAATTACATGAAAGCTACATGTACAGATGCTAAATATTTATTTACAGACACCAATGAATTTATTACTGATTAATTTGTAGAGATAGTCTTGTTTTCCTTGTAGAGATAATATGTCTAGCCTCCTTATACAGGTAATAAGTCTAGCCTCCTTGTACAGGTAATAAGACATTTTTAGTGTCATTCTTAATTCCAGAAATACTTTTCTCAGACAGGAGTTAGAATAATTTTTCTTGACGCCTTTCTACAATGAATTGTCTCTATACTGACATCTCTTGAATTCAGATTTCTCTTCATCAAGAAATTATGCAAGCAAAACTTAACTCGGAACAAACATTATTTTCTTATCTTGTCTCCAAACTAGGCATTAAATTGTTTTGTTATAGAGAGATCACTGTAAATCATCAATTCCTGTTTGGTGTATCCAAAAGTTTCACTGTACTCTAAAACACAAAAAAGTATTGGGTATGGAATTTCTTTTGCTTGATTCTGTGATATGAAAATAAAATACATAAATGAATTCAAATGTGTTCATATTTCATATTGTAAGATTTATAATCAGTGAAACACCAGTATTTTTCAGAAAAATATCCACAGATCCTGTCTCAAATTTGATCACTTGAAATGGTTGACATGTGTATTGGGCATGTGACTGCACTTCCGTTTCTGATGACATTACTAAATCTCAGATATGATTCAGATAGCTTACAGTGACCTTGAAGTACTCTTGTATTACATAAAATCATCAGTTTGAATGGGAATGACATTCTGATTATAGAAAATAAAAATAATTGTACGAAAATGTTGGATATCTGTGCAGTTGTGTGGACCTTTTTCTAAAGGGTTAGAATCAAATTTTTATTTTGTAGTTTTTTTTCTGAAATGAACCAGATTTCTTTGGAAACTTCTTTTGATAACACAATCTATTTAAATAAAACTAATTTTTCATTGGATGGTGTACAATTCGCTAGTTAATTAAAGTCAGAAATTAGTCATCAAAAGTGATAATAAAAAAAATCACATCATTTTCAAAATGAAACGTGCATGTTTGGACTTCCGTAACCGAATAATTGCAAGAATGTATGGCCCAATATTCCTGATAGATTTTTATTCACTTGACCGTGTGCATGGGATATGCCTCGTAAAAAAATACACAACGGTCCAGACCAGATTTCCAGACGATATACGGTTAGCAAGCATTTTCTATAGATTTATTCAGATAACTAGGTTTTAAAATTAGTACAAACGTTAATTTCAAATTCCCCGCTTAGATTTTATCAATCTTTGGTGCATATAAAAATGCTATTTATAAATATTCCTGTGATCCCCTTTACTTCCGGTCTGTGATCACTCATGCGATTCAAAACATGGCGACGGCAAGATGTCAACGTCTGGGCACTCTCCACTCAGTTCCGTGTCTATGAAGCGTTTCTGGAAAAATGTGACTTTCTTTGTGTTTGGTTAACTTGTAAATATTTAGGGAAAGATGACATCCGTGAAGGTAGCTGTGCGGGTCAGGCCCTTGAACCAAAGGTAAGAAAACACGTTATGCTCCATATAAAAACTTGGTCATCCAACAATCAGTCATCGACAGAGTCAGCAGCAAGGCCCTACTGTAAATATAGACTAATATAAGCTCTTACGGGCTAGCTGTCACGCGAAAGTAATGGAGCTGAGTATCTGACTGTCACGGAAGCAGTTTGTCACTGTAACTGTTAGGGCCTATGCTATTTTTTTGTGTGTAATGTTTTCTCAGTATAAATCGAAATTACTTCACGCGAGCGTTTTGTATTGTACGAGTCGACACAAAATGTGCCTTTACATCAGCAGCCATTTATACTGTGATGTATAACGTACATTCATTGTATTGCCAAAACCGTGATAAGCACAGATGTGACGCGATGACAATTTATCAAATAGATTAGATAAATCTACATGTTTTCGGTTAAACACAAAGACATTGTATATGTATATATGCATGTATGATATAAATGTATATGTGAACCTCATTAATTTCTGAATCATTATAATTAACTATTGTACAGCTGATTTGTATTTCTTTGATGTGGTTACAGATCTGATATAGATGTTATTGGAAAAATAAAACCTGTATTCCTCACATTTCTTTGTCACTAGTTTAAAAAAATGAAATGAAACCATGTAGTCCTTGACCCCTGTCTGGAATTCTACTTCAACAATGACCCCTTGCATTATAGTATTTGGATCAAGAAATGCTATACATATATAGGTATTCAGTAAGTAATAAATTTCCCCTTAAGACTGGTTTTCATTATACTGTTTAAAGTACATTTGAGTGGAAATAGAAATGAATATGAAATTATTATTAATGATCAAAAAGGTTGAAAACTGCATCAAAAACAAAATATGTAGATCCAATACGGATATGTTGACATGTAAAGTGCACAGTTTTCACCTGTTCTTCTACTACTAATCAACCTAAGGATGACTCATGCTGAATGGGACCCTATCGACTGTGACATCACAAGTTCAATGACTGGTAGTAGCTGCCATGGAATGAATAGGCAAGGTCGAGAATGTCAGATTGCAGATAACTGTTTTATAGTTTTAAGGAATTGGATAGATCTGATGATAACATTATGCAGATGATAAACAGCCATCTGAAATTTGCCAGAATTTTCAGACAGTTTTAATTCAAACATATTTATTGTTAACCTTAGAACAAGGGATGGGGGACAAGTTATTTCATTTTTAAGCCTTCTCACTATATTTAATGTACATTTACATATGGAAAACAAAATTACCATTATGGAATTATGCATACATCTACAATAATTATTACTGCTAAAATCAAAATCTGTTACTAGGCTTAATGAAGGACTGCACAAGCTCTTTGTTAAGATGAGGATTTCCATATCCAAATTGAATTGAACATTCAAAGTAGTGAAATTTTAGACCAAATTTAATTGGTATATAGATGACACTATAAAAAGTAGAAAGTGATGTTTTTCACAAAGATAAACACAAGTACACAGAACTTTATTTACTAATGAGTTAAATCACATTCTTATTATCCAAGTCCGTGGTTTACTTGAAACCAAAGAGATGACTCAAGGGTACCAAAGTCAGGTGGCATTTGTAAACAGTTTCTGAGCACTGGTGAGGAATGTAAGCAGGTGAATAAGGGGGTAACCTGAACTTGAAGTTAGTCGTTTTACAACCATGTCTTCAGTCATAAAAACAAAGAAATATGTAAGGACCAATTGGAGGAAATATACAAATGAGTAAAATACATAAGCCTGACCTGATGGTTCATTGATACATCATATATATATATATTACTTATATTCGTGAGATTTGAACACATAGTGCAAAATTCCTAGATTTGTTTCACACATTTAACATGTTTTAACTTCTTAGAATCACTAGATTGCATGAAGTATAAAAGTAATGAAATTATCTCCTCCCAATATATACCTCTAAATGCAACTAATCATGACAACTTCTGTCACAAATGCTAAAGACTTGTTCACATTTCTTCCGGCTTTTATAATCGCAGATGGAAATACACATGTTGCTCTCGTTATAAGTATAGATTATTGTACTGGTGTATTTTTTTCAATTTTTAAAGTGTATGTGTATCTCTATTTGTAAAAAAAAGAGTGGCTGGTGCACCTAATAAATTATGAAAACAGATAGATTTAGACAGCATCCGTTTGTGTGTTCAGAAATAGCACGCATATACTGCACATCTTTTGTCTATTCAAATGTTAGTTATTTCTTAATGGACGAAGCTGAATCAAAGGTGTACATTTCAGATAAATCACAATGGCTCCGAAATGGTGTTAACTACAATGTTCACACTTTTTGAACTTTTTATTTGTATAATTTAAAGCATTTTTATAGCTAAATATAGCAAAACACTCAGGGTGCACTTTAATTCATTACTGGGTATGCATGAGCACTAAATATATATCTATGTCTGTGATACAAAACACTGGATTGAAAGGGATTGAATGGATGAGTGGAAATGAAAAATCAAAAGAACATGATAAGTTCAACCTTACAAGAGGATCGTACTAAGGATCCCTGCTCTTTACTTTAGAAACATGAAGCAGACTTTGTGCTTTTCAACCTGAGAACCTGACGTTGTTCTTATTTACTTATTTCACCCAAGGGAGAGTGACCAATTCTGCTAACCACATCATCAATTCTCTGTCATATTTTTGCAGGGAGAAGGACCTGGAGAGTAACTTTATCATTGCAATGGATAAGAAAAAAACTACCATTGTAAATAGAAAGGTAAGTGTACTTATCATATTGTGTTCAGTTAAATCACATACTATTGAAAAGGTAAATTACAACACTTCAGTACTACTTAAAAGATTCTTTTCGTTAACGGATAATAAATGTACAAGATCACATAAAAATACTTGTTCATTTAAACTAATTCTATATTCGTCCTGCCATTGCTCAATAGTAATTTTCTGCTGCAGTATCTTTTTTCATATGGACTGGTACAATATGTTGGACCTTAGATTTCTGAAATGGCTTTTATAATTGTCTAGGATTGGTGGGCATAAGATATGGAGAAAAACTCAAGATTTCTTCTGTAGAACTGTGAGGTCTAGCATGTTATATATATGTAGTCTGTAGATTGCTCAAACTTGATTGTCTGTAAATGAGGTGACACATATGGTCAAAATCAACAGATCTTAAAAGAGGGAAAAAAATGTTTGCAGAAAATTTCAACTGTATGGTCAGTAGCAGTTCTTAACAGATAAATAAATAAAAAAAAAGATGAATGATTGAAATATTACTATCCCATAACTTGACTGTTGTGTCACATCATACTGTCATGTCATAAAAATGATAAAAAACTGGCCTGTTGAGTCGCATCATATTGTCATGTCATAAACATGATAAAAAACCTGGCCTGTTGAGTTACATCATATTGTCATATCATAAACATGATAAAAAAACTGGCCTGTTGAATCACATCATATTGTCATGTCATAAAAATGATAAAAAAACTGGCCTGTTGAGTCACATCATATTATCATGTCATAAACATGATAAAAAAACTGGCCTGTTGAATCACATCATATTGTCATGTCATAAACATGATAAAAAACTGGCCTGTTGAATCACATCATACTGTCATGTCATAAAAATGATAAAAAACCTGGCCTGTTGAGTCACATCATACTGTCATGTCATAAAAATGATCGAAAACTGGCCTGTTGAGTCACATCATATTGTCATGTCATAAAAATGACAAAAAACCTGGCCTGTTGAATCACATCATACTGTCATGTCATAAACATGATAAAAAAACTGGCCTGTTGAGTCACATCATATTGTCATGTCATAAAAATGATAAAAAAACTGGCCTGTTAAGTCACATCATACTGTCATGTCATAAACATGATAAAAAACCTGGCCTGTTGAGTCACATCATATTGTCATGTCAATAAAATGATAAAAAACTGGCCTGTTGAGTCACATCATATTGTCATGTCATAAAAATGACAAAAAACCTGGCCTGTTGAATCACATCATACTGTCATGTCATAAAAATGATAAAAAACCTGGCCTGTTGAGTCACATCATATTGTCATGTCATAAAAATGATAAAAAAACTGGCCTGTTGAGTCACATCATATTGTCATGTCATAAAAATGACAAAAAACCTGGCCTGTTGAATCACATCATACTGTCATGTCATAAAAATGACAAAAAACCTGGCCTGTTAAGTCACATCATACTGTCATGTCATAAAAATGATCAAAAACTGGCCTGTTGAGTCACATCATACTGTCATGTCATAAAAATGATCAAAAACTGGCCTGTTGAATCACATCATACTGTCATGTCATAAAAATGATCAAAAACTGGCCTGTTGAGTCGCATCATATTGTCATGTCATAAAAATGATAAAAAACTGGCCTGTTGAGTCACATCATATTGTCATGTCATAAAAATAATAAAACACATGTAATAACACTTTTGTGATGTCATGAATAAGCCAAGAACATAATTGTAATGTCAGTGTCAAAATAAATGTCTGGTAGATACATATATGGCTATTCATGTGAGAGTTTTTGCTCAATATTCGGAAATATGTAGATGTGACATGATAGATAGCAATCAATCTTACACTTGTGCTGATGTAGCATAGATTTAATTAAACTTATTATATACTAGTATAAAGGCTTAAAATATCATAATATTGGATTTGTTTTAGACATTCAAATTCTAGATTACATCAACATGTAGGATCCTGTGTTAATAAAAGTCTTTTATGAATACAGATGACAAAGGTCATATAAGTTTATTATATAAGCAACATACATGTACTTGTACATTGTTGTATTCATTCATACATACACAGCAGTCTGAGCTGGTTATACAATGTAATCAGTGGGTTTTTATATACTCTTCAAAATTTTTTAGGGGAAGGAAAAGTTATCGCTTTGTTTGTACATCAGTCTCTCTGGAAGTCGCCACTTTGTGTGACATCAGCCATTCTGGGTGTCCTTTTGTGTCCAGAGCTTTTACCATATCATGAAACTTGGTGTAAAAATTGGTCATACTAAGGCAATTTGTAGTGTATCAAATTAGTGGCCTGCAACCCCTCAGTTACTGAGATATCGCCTTTCTTCAAATTTTGTATACAAAGTATAACATTGCTTGCATGTAATCTAGGATAATGAAACTTGATGTGTACATTGGTCATACTAAGAGGATGTACAGTTACTGAATTCAGTGCCTGAAACCCTTTAATTACAGAATTATTGCCCTTTGTTAACATTTTGTGTCCATTAAAGTTGTATGTAGTGAGCATTCGTCAGTTTCATTGATACTCTTGTGTCTTGTGGCTTTACAGTTTATAACAAGATTAAGCTGTCTGGTAATCCAATTAATATCTACATAGTCCTGTTCCTCAGAAAACTAAACAATTAGACTTTATCAATAATCTGTAATATGATAAAGCCCATTTTCCAACTTTGAGTCTGAGATTGTGTATGAATCCCAGTTTACTCCTTGTGGGATAAAAAAATTCCAGGGTTGATTGGAAGAACAGGTGATGAAATTTAATCAACAAAGTTTTGATGTATTATAACATATGAGAAAATTGAGAGGTTGACTTTATATTCATCACAGGTGCCAGAAACCGGTGCTGAAGGTGACCACGCTAGGGAGAATATGCGATTGAAAGAATTCACATTTGACCATTCTTTCTGGTCAGTTCTTCGGTCAGACTCTAATTATGCATCACAGGAGGAGGTAAGTTTTTTTGTCATACAAAATGATGTCTCTTGTTATGGGATCCATGTGATATGGTCTAAACATGTGGTTTTTCCCATTTGTCATTCATGTGCTATTGGGAATGATGAATCCAATTATATCCAATTATTTTGTCAGTATTGTGACAATGTACAGCACTAATGATGCACCATAGCTCTATTGGATTGATGAACTAAACACCTATGGGTTTCCTTATCAAGATACATTTGAAAAAAAAAGATTGCATACTAAATATCAGCATTGTTATTTTGTACACAAATTAGATAAGATCTTTATACCTGTATATAAGAGTATATCGATAAACTTGATATCGATGGTTGGCTGCGATACAAATATATATACGAGTGATTAAACTTGATGTTTGGTCAATACAATAAGTATTGTATGTGTAATAAGAATGTAGTATCTTGAAATGCAATTACTTGGCTCTGATAATTTAAGTTAATTTTTTTCTGTTTAAAGGTGTTTAAGTGTCTCGGCCTGGATGTAGTGGCATCTGCCTACGATGGCTACAATGCTTGTGTGTTTGCTTATGGACAGACAGGATCAGGGAAGAGTTACTCCATGATGGGCAGCCACGTAGGTTTATGGTTTATGTGGTAACCTACCTCTCATGGTTGTTATGGTTTATATGGTGCAGTAAATAATGATCACAGGAATATGATAGCTCCGCTGTTAGTGTTTTCCTTCGAGATAGTCTGTAAGCCTTATGCTGGTAAAACAATTATTGTACTACTGCCAAAAACAACAAATAATTTCTGAAACAATCCAGGCTATAGGAATATACAGAATGTTCTTAATAGAAATTTCATCAATTCTTTATCATTTATTAAAAATGTAGATATGTAAACCACCACCAAAACCACCACCACCACCAATGTAAAACTGTCTATATCCTGATAAATGGGTTAACTACTTAATTATATAAATTTATTTTTTGTAGGATGATCCTGGATTAATCCCTAGAATCTGTCGGGTAAGGATTTTGAATTTAAGGAATTTTGTTTATCAATAGCCATCTGAATATGGTAATCTTATTTTTCATGCATTTATGAGCCTGCTTTCCAGTCGTAATGAATATGATTATAAATCATGTACTGTTCAGTCTAACAAAAATGAATTTAACTTTAATATTGCGAATTGACTAATGAGAGATCACTTTATTGAATATTGTACATTGTGAAAATGATAAGTATTTTATTTGAAAACGCTTTGGATTCCATTTATATTTTCTTCTTTAATATCTTTTTACCTTTTAAAGGACCAATCAGCAAATCATGCAGTTTAAAAAGAAATTTTATGCAAAGTTTTCATTTTCAGTTATACTTGTAATTTTCAAAATTTCAGAATCAATCGAAAATTAATTTTGAAAATTGTATTTACTTAATCTCTAGGAGCTGTTTTCACGGATGACTGATGAAGATACCAGTTTTAAAGCTGAAGTTAGGTTAGTGAAATGATAGAACGTATATGAACAAAGGGAGACAATTGATAAGGTTGACTTATGTGATAGATTTCCTATTCCTATGTTTTATTATTGTTATTGGTTACAGAGGATCTTATATCAGATAGTTGAACTATAAAGAAAACAAAACATCTTAAAATTTTCTTCCTTTACCAGTCACCTTATCAAATCAACATCACATTCAGATTAGAAATGGATCCTAACTTGAGTGGAAAAATAGTGATTTACATGTAGCTGTTCTATAGACAAGCAAATCTGTTTTTGTTTTTCATTATTTCTATACCATAAGTGTAGAACTTTCTATAAATGTAAAATATAATTTTAAGTTTGAGAGCAATTATTTCGATCTTTTTCGCTTGCAAGAAATGATAGGTTATACAAATGTAATAGTTGAAAGACTTGTCGTTTTTTGAAGATTGTCAATTTGCAAGAAATGATAATTTATAGGCATTAAAAACTTAGTTGATGCCCAGCTGTAGTTTGTTTTGATATTAAAGTTTCTCTCATAGGAATTGAAAGTGGACACATTATTTATGTAAAAATGATGTTCTGTCATTTACAGTTACTTGGAAATTTACAACGAAAAAGTGAGAGATCTATTGAAGCAGTCATCTGCAAACAAACCAATGCATAGTCTTCGTGTGCGAGAACATCCCAAACTTGGTCCCTATGTACAAGGTATGTATGTGGGCTGTAGAGTTGTGTATGTGATTTCTAAATGCCAGTTTTCTGTATTCTTAAAAAAAATGGAAAAAAACAAGTTAAATCAACATTAAAAGTTATATTTTGGAAATTATTTTAGGGTAATGATTCATCAGAACATTCAGCATTATGTAATAAACATTGTTGTCACAGAAATTATGACTTGTGATAATGATGCAGCAACTGTAATATTGAATTCCTAGAGTGTTATTTGGATATTTCACCAAAAAAAAAGAAGAAGGAAACAGCCTTTGATGATCTTCTCCACAAATCGCTGTTTTGCTTTAATACCAATCTTAATCTTCAGATTTATCAAAGCACACAGTCAGTGATTATGATGATATTAAAGGACTCATGGACAGAGGGAATTCCATCAGGTATGATGTAGATATGTATTAATGGCAAGCCAGCCTCTCTGTCATTATCAATGTCAACTGGATCTGGTTATTTAATGAGGAGAAAAGTTAAAAGTCATGCTGCTTGAAGTCATTAAATTGTATTGTCATTTTTAGATAAATGTAAACTACCTTATCCGTTAAAATATGTACTTATTCAGTAATAAGCCCATGCTTGGTAATAAGCCCACCCATATTCAGTTCAGTGGAACTACTTAGAAATAATTTTATATTGTATTGCAAACAACTCACCTCATGACCTTTTATAAAAATTTGTGTGTTTGCTGGTAGGTTTATTACAGGACAAATTTTGTGTAAAACAAATGTGATTCTCTGTATCAAAATTAAGCTCATCTCTCTTCAGAACAACAGCTGCCACAAACATGAATGATACAAGCAGTAGATCCCATGCCATCTTCACCATTGTGTTCACTCAGGTATACTTATATAACTAACTGCTGTATATTGAATCAATTAATTTTGTGTCGATCATTGTAATTTAAAAAAAAACATGAAATGAATATCAACCTTTCATGGTTTTATTGTCTCTAAAAGTATTTGAATTTCCAACAGTATGGTAAAATAGATTAGTTGAATTTAAATTCTCTACTTTGATTTATTTAGGCTCTGTTTTAATCTCTATTTAATTTTCATCTGTTTTAATTGACAGGCCAAGTTCAATAATGATGTCCCTTGTGAGATGAGTAGTAAAATACATCTGGTAGACCTGGCAGGGAGGTAAGGATACCACAAGTTACAAGAAAAACTTTTATAGTTAAAAATTTACCATTTAAAAATCTCAGAATTTCTCTACAGAAATAATAATCGCTGTTTTCTTTTTTGATTATCAACATTAATTTATTATGTAAGGAATGGTTTCAATGTGATAGCTGTATTGTCACTTTTGGAATAGGTGATGCTTTGTGTCTTTTATAAACTGAAGGATGTTGATACACTCTGTTGTCATGTTATGATTAGATGAACACCGGAAGTCTATGTTTTTTATCACAGGATTTTAGACAAACTAGAGAATTTTACCTGTTGAATGTTAAATACAATCAAAAACAGCAAGTTAGTGAGTGACTGAATCTTATGTTTTAGTGAGCGAGCGGATTCCTCAGGGGCAACAGGTCAGAGGTTAAAAGAAGGTGCCAGTATCAACAAATCGCTGGTCACTCTGGGGTCAGTCATCAGTGTCCTTGGTATGTATACTGACAGTGACCAGTCACATTTGTATCAAGATTTGTCGTGTGTTTAACTTCCGTCAAAAATAAATGTTGTATCTTTTCCCGTAAAAACCTGTCAACAATGAATAACTCTCTAATGTGAGTTTAAATGATTTGCAAGTAATTTGGTATACAACAGCAAATGAACTTTACCACCAAATACTGAATATTAGTTCTAAATAACATTTTTATAAAGTAACTGTGAGGGAATTAGAGTTATGTTTCTTCAATAGACATCCATTGTTGGAACATCACAGTATATCAAAATGATTTTAATAAAATTTTGTCGGTCACATCATTTTTGTTACAAAAGGAGTAAGATTGTGATTATAGTATGTCCTGAAGAACCCTGAAATAGAGCGCGAAATTTGTCAACACAAATCAGTCAATGAACCTTGCCTTTTTGCCTGTTGTTAGTGATCTCCACATAAATGATTACAATGAAGTAACAGTTTAATACTATAGAGCTGGTAATTTTCATGGGTCAGAATTTCATTAAAAACAAACTAACCATATTTCAACGAATTAAAATTTTGCGATTTGGATGTGAAAGGACATGTAATACATACATGTCTCACTATTTCACGAATTATGTTTTTGTGATCATGTTCATGTACAAGGAAAATAACCAGCTATATGATATCGTTTAATATGGGAGTTGATTAAGGACCAACTTTTCAATGCTGTTGAGGTATATTTCTGTGGTATAAATGTCTAGATTGGTTCAATTTGCTTCTAAGTTTCGAAGACATGATTGTTGAAATTAGTTTTCAGTAAATATTAAGTATATTTCCTCAGGTTTCAAGCTTGTCCACAAGTGATTTACAACATTGTATATATTTATTGTAGATAAAAAGGCATCTATTATGTTTCAGCTGAGATGTCAGGAAGTAAGTCTGGGAAGACATTTTTCATTCCATATCGAGATTCTGTCCTGACATGGCTCCTGAAGGACAGCTTGGGAGGAAACTCTCGAACCATCATGGTAGCCAGTAAGTAGAATTTTAGCTAGCCAGTCATCAATATCTAGGTAAAACAGTTTAGCAAATGTAAAACATGTTTGTGAGAAACTCAAAAGGACCAAAGTAAGGCTACTTTATAAGAAAAATTTGATTTTCTTACTGCTGGCTTGGAGGCCATGATAGCTCGATTGGTATAATGTTGGTGCCTATAAGTAACCTCAGGTGAGGATCAGAGAAGTGAGGTTTGATGGTCCAAGTCTTTGGTGACAGGGTTATGTCTTTGGGCAAGACTCTTTAATCAAATTTCTGTGGATGGCAAGCAACAGGTCTCCTATGTATTGTTCTGTGAGGTAGCCACTACAAGTAGACCCAGCCTCAAAATGACCCTGGCTATTCAAGAGGTGATACACCTAACCAACTAACAACCAAGCAAACTTATTGCTGACTTGTTCTAAGTTCGCAGTAAGTTCATAGTTTTATAGCACAATCTCGAAAAAATGTATGTCTATACTGTTTTAATGCTCTTTTATTTAGGAGGTGTTTATGACAAATTGTGAAGAACTTTTAAATATTCTGTAAATCACACTTCAAATAGTGTAGTACCTATATATATATATATTTATATATATAACTTTTTCTTGTGTGTTTTTTTAAACAATTTTCTTTATATTATCACTTGCATATCGTCATTAACTATAATTTTTATATATATGTATATATATTCCGGTATACAAAATTTGAATATTGCTTTTAGACAACACAAAAATACAGTGATGGAGAAGTTTGTAACTAACTTCCTGTACATGAAATTTATTAAGAAAGATTGTTTGGAAAGCTTTTAATTAGAGGACAAAATGATATTTTACAATTTACTACATTTATATAGATAATGGAGTAAAATTGTACAATTTTCACAGCAATATCGCCAGCTGATGTGAATTATGCAGAAACACTGAGTACATTGCGGTATGCCAACCGAGCCAAAAATATTATCAACAGGCCAACTGTGAATGAGGTAAGAACCTCATGAGATGTGGGTAATCTAAACTTACTTTGAATAAGGTAAAAATGTCATCAACAAAACTAAATCTAGCAACTCGGATGGAAGTATCAGCTTATGTATAATGTGATATATTGCTGGATTTCAGAAAATATGATCTTGAATAAAACAGTGCTTTATTTATGAAGATAAGTAACTATATTTTTTATGGCTTTATTATTAAAAATGTGTTGTTATTTGAATTGGCATTGTAACAGTTCTTTCATTATTTAGGATCCAAACGTCAAACTGATCCGAGATCTGCGAGATGAAATCAACAGACTGAAGGCTTTGCTAGGTGGCAATATTGTAAGTAACCCAGCATCTTTGAATTAGCATATTTGTGTTATTGCCATCACTTCCCCTTTGTGAGTGTAAGTAACAAGACATTTTATTTCAAATATACCATTTTTATTATTAAAAGAATTGAATATCTTGTACAACGATGTTCCTTTTTGTCTGAGTTGTTGAGAGTTGATTTTTCTTCTGTTCAGGACAACATATCTACTCCAAAAGTCCAAGAAAAATTACATGAAAACGAAGCAAGGGTAAGTTGAAATTCACAATGAATTACAACATTTATGCTCTTTTATATTTAATTGGAGCTGACCACAGTATGCAGTATGCAGTTACTTAAGGTAATCTCTAGTAATATCAATTTATTTTGTATGTTTTGTTTGGAGTTTTATAGATGCTACATAGTGATGCACCTGGAAATGGATTGAAAAAAAAAAATGAAAAATAGGAAAACCTAAGGATGTGTCTTTTCCTACAGTAACTTGGTAAAAATGATCAACATTTCCTTTCCTAGGTCAAAGTATTGACAGAAGAATGGGCAGGAAAATGGAATGAGGCTCAACATATTTTACAGGTAGGATTAAAATTCCCACAGGTAATACAATTTGGTTTGCTAATACTAACTACTTCTTTATCAAAAAGTATTGTTTGGAAGTAAGACTACAAGGAAAGAATCTAAAACACAGCCTTAGATTGGCAAATGTCAAAACTTCTGTGCCATTGCTGAAGGTTTTTTTCTGTTACTGTTGAAAAAAAATTTATCTTCAGAGCTTTTTGTTTCACGATTGGGGTTAATCTTTTAAATTAAACTGAAACAGGGATTAACAATCCCTAAATTGCTCTATTGCTATGTAGACCATTATTTGATATTTTGAAAAAGTTGATTTTTTGTGTGAAATTTTGTTTATTATTAACCCTTTTCATTATGTTTTGGTGACATTTATAAGTAACTTACTTTAAGCACCTGTTTTTGTTCTGGCTGTAGGACCAGACATTAGCTTTACGTAAGGAGGGCCTTGGTGTGGTGTTGGACTCCACATTGCCCCATCTGATTGGTATAGACGATGATATCCTCAGTACTGGGATAATGTTATACCATCTTAAGGTAGGTAGGATATTAATGTACATTTTATTTATTTTATTGGGACAAAACTAGAGTTATCTTTCTTTAATAGATGTCCATTACTGTGACATCATAGAACAACAATGTAGTTGTGACATCAAGGAATAACTGTGAATTAAATATCCTCATTTTTAATACCTGATGTGTAAAAATTGTGATTGATATATATATCCTGAAGAATCCCAAAGTAGGGGAAAACCAGTTCACTAACAAACAAATTGATGAACCTGGCCACTTCTCCTGTTGTGATTTACTTCTACATACTTAAGGGTGCGGAGAGAGAAAGTGTTCGTAACTCCTGGAATATTGAGTATGCAGAAATGTCAATGACGACTATATCATTACCCTGTGATAAGTTGTTCTTCCTTCCTAGTATTTGGGATTGCGCCACTATGGCGTATCACAGGACAAATGAAATATAATATACATAAGATATGTATGTTGTTATATTGCAGGAGGGCAGTACAATTGTGGGACGGCCAGACTCGGAGGAAATGCCAGATATTGGTATGGATCCATTTCTCATCTGTTTTTAATCAATTTCATTTCATTTGAATTTACCATTATTGAATATACATTTATAGCAGGAATGATACAGAGAGGTGTACTTTGAATTAGCCAATATATTGAAGGTTTATTTAAGATAGTTGTTATAGCCTATGATTAACTAAGTCTTTTATGCCAATTTGAAACCATTTAGGGAAAATGTATCAGCAACATATCTTTGTTAAAGTACATTAAAACATGGATAAGTCAAAGTGGACGGGACAAAATTAAATATTTGACTTATCTGATGGTTCGGCTTTTCTGTGAACGGAAACATTGTGCATGGAAGAATGACCTTGTGTTGCTGGAGAGCATTTGATATTGGGTTTTTCTTATTATCTGAATGTTTATAATAGCTTTTAATGTAATGAGATTTGTTAAACTAAAATGACATATTTATTGGTGTAGTTTGAGAAAGTGTTCGGCATTTTGTGTGGTATTTATAATTGGATGTTGTGACTAAAATGATAAAAGATTAACAATACACATTACACAATCAATATTAAACAGAGATTGCTGGGATAGATGTAGAAGAAAACCATTGTGAGATTGTCCATCGAAATGGGGAAGTAACTCTATACCCAATGCAGGGGGCTATGTGCTCTGTCAACGGAACTGTTGTTACTGATCCAATCAAACTAACTCAAGGTGAGGTTTTATAAACTTTTTGTCAGAAATTAAAAAAGAAAAAGATATATGGCACGGTAAGTGATCTAATCACCTTTTCTGAGGTGCATCATATAAAATCAAAGACCGACTTAAAATAGGATTGGTTTGAAAACACAAAATGCATACAGATTTTGTCTAATCTGACTGTAGTAGTTCAATTCAATTTCATCAGTTGCCAATTTTAGGTTTGTTATCTTTATCCATTTTATAGGGTTTCAGATTATTTACTGTATAGCAGTAATATTTCAGTTTATGTTGATGTTTTTTGACAGGAGCTGTGATTTTGCTGGGCAGAACAAACATGTTTAGGTTTAATCACCCGGCTGAAGCTGCCAAGATGAAACAAGAGCTCCGCAGTGTAAGTATACATAGTGTTCAGACTCGGCATAAAATATGGTGTATGTATTTTATGTCACAGGTAGACCAAGTTTTGTACAGACAAATACAAAAGATGCTACTCCGACAATTTAACATGGTTTACATGGTGAGATATTGAGGACAAGCATCGCGGGGGGTGGGGTGGGGTGGGGGTGGGGGGGGGGGGGGGGGGGGGAGTCAGTATACTAATGTCAGATAATTAATCTGCCTCTTATGTTATTGGAGTACACTGGTATGGCCAAAGAATAATTTAGTTTTTTTTCAATCCAATTCCTGTCGAGTTTTACAATATGTTGCATTTAGTCAGTCAGTTTTTTAGATGTCATACATTTTTCCTTATATTAGGGTCACATGTATCATACTGAAAAACTGTTATGTATTATAGATCCGATGTTTATACATTGTCCCTGTACACTACTATTATACAGATCTTGCATTGTTCTTATTGAATATGAAAGATGGGTAGCCATTTAGTAAACTTCATGTTAGCAAAATTAATTATATATAATCCATACCCTTAGAACATTTAATTTAGATGTAAACTTATTAAATTGTTTCATGCATGAGTGGTCAACCATTGAACTACCAAGTTAGTAGCGATGTTCAAACCTCATTGACATAAATTTGAAATGAATATGGTAATTCTGTGATTGCTGAGGTGTCCATTGTGACCCTTCCAACCTATATGGCCTTTACTATTCTGACTGGTCAGACCTCACCGAGAATAGCACACATTTTGATCAGGAAAGAGTTACTAATTTGAAGCGGGTAATAGAAATTTAGTAGCTGGTTTGAATTTAATCTTGTCATTATGATTTCATTGAATGTCAAAAGCACAAGCTCTGGTTATATACATGATTTTCCGGGCTATAAACCTCACCCAAGTATAGCCAAAAGGCTGGATTTAAGCAATTTTTTCTACTTAAATCCACATACAAGACACATCGTAATATAAACCTCAATATAATACAGTATGTGTTTGCTTGCCTACAATGGACAGCTCCAACTTACATGCAAATGTATGAGAGTGAAGAATTTGACTCTTCTCATTGGTGTATATCTTAAACACCACAGGTATGTAAGTTGTGATGTAGATTTTTTCAGTATATCAGTTTAACCCCCTTTGATTAGAACTCTTTTGAAAAGGAAATTCAAATACTGAAGATTTGTTTTCTAACATAACTCTTTAATGACATGCTAACAAAAATCTGTTCGAGTTTTTTTTATGAATATTAATTTTGTTTGTTTACATGTAGTGTGGGCTGAGTTTGTCGAGGACGTCCCTGCTTGGTCACTCCATGACAGATCTGTATAAATCTTCTGAGAACCTCTCCCTTCTGGCTGCTGGGTATGTATATATACAAGCTGAATTCCTACACTGTGCTTACTTCACTGGCATTATATATTGAGACTACTACTTTTCACAAATGTTTGAAGTCCAGTATAAAGTAGAACTGTAATACAATATGACTTTTATACCTTGTAGATCTCTACAACTACAGTCCAAACTCATTATCTTGATCTTGTATAACTTGAAGACTCTGTTTAATTTAAAGTATTTTGTCTGTACCGGCCAAACTTTTCACCAAAATTTGATCTCATTTGAATCAAATACTCAGAGAACATAGTTTCCCAACGGTCCTGCTGACTTCAAAATATCAAAGTTTGACTTCAAAATAATAAGTTTGACTGCATGTATTCAACAATATCTATTAGAAATTAAAATGACAATAACAAATTGTAAAAATGATATTAATGTTTGATTATAGATGTGATTGTAGTGAATGGTATTAAGATGGAGATGCTCAGAGTTCATCTTGTATTGTTTTTCTTTTCTACTGATATGCACATTTCAATGTTTTGATTTGAATTACTTTGAGTCGGACATTTTTGTGTGATGTGAATTAATGTGCTCTTTTGACTGTAAAAATGCAATGTTATTTGAGATGTACAAGTATTTATAATATACTCTTCAGATTCGAGTTAGAACAGAATAACAGAGATGATTTAGCCAAGCTTGACGACAAAAGGTGGGTTCTGGAGTTTTTATTTACATGATGTCTTACCCCATTTCTTAGCCTTTTTTAACCAGCATATGATATCATTACTCAATTAACTTGTTGTCTCTATTAAGACAATAGGTACCATTAAGTAGATACTACCGTCACAACATATTAAATGTGGGAAGAGGTCATTTTCTACGGACATATTTCATATTAAACATATTTTAAAATGCATTTACCATAATTACAGAGATAATTCATTTGTATGTGATATTATTTGTATTTTGAAACAAACAGGAAAGTGAAAATAACAAAACAATGGATTCTACATTTTTTAAGGGAGGGATTTGAAGTAACCCTTATTTGATTTAAATTGAATTAAACAAGACTTTTAATACAAGTGCAATTACTAACAAGGAATGATATTTTCAGTTTACAAGACAAAAAACTCACATAACGAATTAACACAAGAATAAAATTTCTGGATGGAAAAGGAATTAATAATTTCCTTTCACTTGAAAAATTATTTAGATAATAGTTAGAATTATTATATCATATATATATAATGTAGTTAATCTTATTTCATTGCGTCCTCTGTAATGTAGACCATAATTTTTAGTATTCTGTATTAAATTAGAGCTGAAACATTGTTGATATTTTGGTTGTAAATGGCATGCGTTGCTTTTGTTCGCAGGAATATGCAATATTTGCGTGCTCGCAATGTTCAAGTGTGAGTCGAAGTCTTCAGCTTTCTGTTGAATATTTCCCCCATGGTTTTCATTGGGTTGATTTGAATAACGATGCGATATCTTGTTGAGTTTATTCAGCTCTCTGCACAACACAAATTGATTAAAAAAAATATATAGATGCACAAATATTTTAAATGGAAAAAAAAAAATCAAAGAGGCATTACCATTTATGTCATTCAAGTCAATTAAATTGTGTTCTGTATCTTAATACTTTATTTATAAAAATTCAGTAACAAAGCTTTGTATAAATGCAGTAAAAGAAATTTCAATTGCACTGAAATGAAGGAATATTAATTATTCTTGAAAATTTAAATGAAAATTCCGAGTGAAATCAACCAAATTATTTTAAATTAGTAATAGAGATGGAAAATATCAAGGCTAGTAATGGAGCATGTGTAGGTGATGGGTTTTCATGTTCAACATATTATTTAGTTCTTTAGCAATATGTCAAACAATTGAAAAAGACATTACAGAAATCCAAAAACATATACGATAATTCTAGAAATCTTAAAAAAATCCATCTAGAATGATTCCTTAACACTAGAATTAAGGCAATAATTAATCCATTTCAATATTTGCTATTAATTTGAAAATTGATTTTAGTAAAACTAAATTTTAGGAAAGTCTTTAAAACTTAAATTTTTCGATAAGAACAGGTAATCTGATTGTTGGTAATTGATAAAATCATGTTTATGCTTTTTAGATGATTGATTAATTAAGCCTAAAGCAGTAAGAAATTCAGCTTTTAGAGTCTTGCTTTATTTCATATATTTTGCAAACAATAGTGATGCCTTAAGGTTTATTAATATTTGAAATGAAAAACAAGTCTTCAATGCCTTATTCATGTCTTTATATTTTACTAATATAGTAGCTTCCAGCAATATCACTAAATATTTTCAGTTAATAAAATGTCATGTTGTAAAGCTAGTTGAACTATATCTGTACCAATCAGTTTCAATCCTTAATAGACGGTAAAAAGTTAAAACATAATAAACATATACAATGAAATAAATGATTTTTTAATTTTTTTTTTTTTTTTTATTTTCTACGGTTGAAGAGAATTAAAAAAAATTTATATATTCTTCCAAAAAGATGAATTGGATCTTTATAGAAGACATATTTGTCGATAATTGTTACTACTTACAGAGAATATTTCCCAGCTTTCCCTCTGACAGTGTGCCTCTGCCCATTAAGAAGCAGCTATCTATAATAGAGTTAGAAGGATGCTGATCCTCAGCTCTAAACCTGCTTTTCTTTGAAGAATTTACAAATGGAAATCATTTCTACAAGTTTAAAAGCTTTTCTTTCAGTAGAATAGATTTAAGTGCCTGCTTGCTTTTTAAATTTATTTTCATGGATTTTTTAGAAAATTTGGTTTGTTAGTGGAGTCACAAGTGTAAAAGGCATCAAGATTTGAAATTCAACACTTTATTATATTTCATAGAAGAAGGATTTCTGCTTATAAAGTAGGCTAGGATAATGAAACCAAACAAGATTAGGGGTAGAAATGTAATTACTATCAAGAACTTTTTTTTCATTCTTTAATAAAAACATTACTTTAACTTAACAAATTTTGCACATTATTCACTGTTAACAGGGGTAATTTGTGAGGACAAAAATAAAAAAATTTAGGGTTGATAAAGATTCAGTATTTCATTCTACAATATTTGCCATACTCATGTCTGTTATAGAGTACAGATTAACGCGATGGAAAAGAGGCACAAGAAAGCAGATCAAGATCGGGACGAGGCCCAGGATAATCTGGAAAAATTTGTTCAAGAGAAAGAAGAAAGGCTTTTAATGATCCAGGAACAATTTGAGGAGGTAGAGGAATTTATAAAAGTATTTGGTTCGGAAAAGGAATCATGGAATAGTTGAGGGAACATTTTCTGAAATGTGTCGCCTACCGGAATACATGTAGTGACAATGTAATCTTGAGGCAGTTTTTTTAAAACATTATGAAGATTGAAATAGTTAATTTGATCAAATCCATTAAGGTTATCACAGTTTTTCAATAATTGCACCTTGTATTAACTGTTTGAACATATCAGAGGATTATAATATCAATTATTTATAATTATATCAAAGGATTAACTTTCACTTTTTTTAAGGTTTTTTGGGGATAACAGCAATTTAATTTAGGTAAATTAATGACAAAGTCGGTTATGTAAAATTTACCCAAGTTCATTTGTAGTTATTTACCTGAAAACCTGAACAAAGAATGAAAGTTAATCCTTAAATAATCACAGGTTCACAAAGTAAACATTAGAAAACCACTCTCTTTCCCTCCCACAGGAAATAAGTATTGGAGAAAAATTGAAGATATTGGAGGAAAAAGAAATTATGATTACTCAGCAAGCAGCAGCAACAACACAGAATCTAGAACAGGTAGAGTTCTCTATAGCTTTGCTCATGATGGTAGTATTTTTTTCATTTATAATGACCATAGAAATTTAGTGCAGGTAATATATTTAAGAGGATTTGAAATGTCTGCTTCCTTAATTTTCATATTCTGAATCATATTTAATGAATGTAAAGCACTGGGTTTATTTGGATTTTGAGGGAAAATAAGAATGGTTTAAATGAATATAAATGCTTTGCAGAAATGATAAGATCCTATATGTAGCTTCTTGTGAGCTTTTCTTGAGTGAGAATGTATAACAAACTAATAAGTTATGCTACATAAATCCATTTTGTTGAGTCTGTCATTTCTATAAAACATTCGTTTTGTAAACTAGTACTTCATTTTGAATGTGGAAATATCAGATGTTCTGTTAAATATGCTGGCTTGTACATCTTTTAAGTTATTTACCAGAAAACAAACGGAGGACCACCATTTAACTTATCCAAGGAACAAGTTAAGAAATACCCACAAGTTATATAATGATAGACAACATCTAGTATTTTTTTTTTCTATCAGAGTTTTATATTTCTGTGATGTGATTATGGTGACATTATCGGTTGATGTAGGAAACCAAATCCTCTCTGTATTTTATTTTGATGTCTTCTACTTACTACAGGAAAGTGAGAAAGTTAAAAGACAACATGAGGAGCAGAAATCACAACTCCAGGTCCTGGTTGGTAGACAGGCACAACAAGAGAAGTTAAAGGCTGACACAGAGGTTGAGGTCACAGTCAAGGTCAAGGATCTCATGGGTCAAAAGTCACAAGTAAGAGGCTTGGAATACTAATATGTATAAACTGTCAATTGTTTTCTGTATTAAAGTTTAGTACATTGTAGTACTGAATTGTGAAACAGATTTTATCAGATTGAAAAGTTCAGAGGTTGACTCTATAAGTGTAATAATGCAAATTAAATACGGTTGTATATCAATATCATAATATATAAAGACATAATATATTGATTTAAACTACTTTACTGACCTTGTTCATACCACTACTCAAAATAATGATGGTGATTACATTTTGTTGCTGTCAAAACATTAAAACGTGGAAAATTTGTTGTATCGGTCCTAATCACTATTGAGTAGAAATTTTCTTTTCATGAAATGATTAATTATAAAATATCTGTCCTAAAATCTCAAAAAGAATATAAATCGGGAATATTCAGTATAAGTTAACTGGTTATGTTTCATTTTTCATGCTTAACATGTAAATTTTTTGAGTCTGAACATCTGAAGAATTGTCTGAAATTGTCGGAAAATACCACATATTGTGTGGACCTGATGTGATGTTCAGGTAAAAACACTGTTGATTGAATAATTAATTAAAGCAGGGTGAATTCACAATCCTCATGATGATATGATTTATAAAATATATTCAATACATGTATGTTCCTTTACAGCAATATGCTTGCTAGTGCTAACTTTAAGGTAATATAATTACATTATCGCATATTGTCATCTTTAATTTTGTAGGTTGAACAGAAGTTGAATGCTGATGTGAATGAACTGAACGGCTTGCAATCTGATTTCGAAATCCGCAAAAAAAAAATATTGGACAACAATGAAGACGTAAAATCAGAAATTCTGTCGCTTGAACATGACAAAAGCAAATTTCTTACTCAGTGGGAGAAAGAAAAGGAGGCCATGACAGATACTTGGCATCCATCTTTAGAAGCAATTGCAGTCAAGAACAATAGGATAGAAGAAGCATGGAAGGATTTGTTAGAGCTTGAGAATAAGCATGAATTAAAGGCACAAAGTCAGCGGAACATGAGTAATGAAGAAAGAGAGAAATTCGAGGATGAAAAACATGAATTAGAAATGGCCAGAACTCTTTTGAAAGAGGAGGAAGAAAGAGTCACTCGTGAGGAGAAAGAGATAGTAGATGTTATAGAAAAGGAAATGGATAAAATGGAACGGATGAAAAGTGAGAGACTTCAAGAAATTGAAATTAAGAAACATAATTTAATACTTGACTCTGATGAAGATTTAAAGACAATGATTGAAAGAATCTCAGAAAAAGAAAAAGTTGTGACCAGGACACGTGACACTGTGAATGAGATTGACAAGGAATTAGTGTGCTGTGATAACATGCTAAGTGATGTTGTAGACTCTACTACACGGGAACTGGAGGAGCTAGGTCAGAGACGAGAGGCGCTCACCGCCAACATGATGGACGAAGATGCAGTCAGTAACACACTGACTGAGATCAGTAACAAGGTCATAGAGGTGGAGACAAAGTATAAAAAGGAACTGAAGACGATACAATCAGAAAGAGAAAGGTATATACGGCAATATACTGTAGGTGTATATTACCTTCTATGAAAAGAAGACAACACAGTCAGTTGTTGCTTTATTTCAAAATAAACAAAATTATTCAAAATCCATGATTGTATAATAAAGTTATTTTTGTGATTAAAAAGCAACAAGTCATTTACATGTGATTAAAAAGCAACAAGTCATTTACATGTGTTTAAAAAGCAACAAGTCATTTACATGTGTTTAAAAAGCAACAAGTCATTTACACAATTTGATTTTAAAATCTTGGGGAGAAAAAATCCCTTATTTCATTCTTAAGTGTAGATGTTTTTGTTATTTAAATTGAGTAAAATTTTTACAATATTTGAATATAGCTATTTAATGGTGAAAATAATACAGTATCATAAATAGATAGAAGTAAAACTAATGTAAAATTTCAAATCATTTATCAGGATTGAAAACCACTTATGTCTAGAAAAAATCTTCTTCTGAAATCTCACGTTTTACCTTTAAATGTTATTTTTGAGGTCTCTGAAAACATCAGAATACTTACAAAGTATTAAAATGATTTTAACATCCTTTTTTGTATAGATTGCTGATGAATAAAGAAGCTGCAGCATTGTGTGAAGCAGAAGAAAATGGCTGGGAAAGACTGTCAGAAGATGCCAGACTGGAGAGGAAGATAAAAGTAAGAATGAGACCTCTGTTGATATAAGGTCTGAAATACGTGTTTAGATTACTGAAAGAATTTCTGCAAAAAAAGTACAGAAATCTATAACCTGTTTTTTATCATAAAATGAAAACTTATTTTTTTTGGGCTCAGCTGTTCATGGCTGTTATCTAAGCATGAAAAAAAATTATATGTATACACTGTACAATGAAAAACTATGATCAAATGAAAAAATTGAAAATATCTTTTGATGCAATGTTCACTAGAGGATGTGGTATTGATTGATATGTGATGTTTTTTAACAGGAGATAGAAACATTGAAGAAAGAGGTAGAATCTGCAAAAGCAGATTTGGATGAAAAACAGCGTCGGTTTGAGGAGGAGCGGAATGCTGAAATGGATAAGATTGAATATGAGGTACTCAAACTGCAGGAGATGGAGAGACAAGAGAGGTATGTGTAATTTTGTAATACATCATTGGAAACTTTTAAATCCAAAGGTTTCAAGTGAAAATATACATTTACTGTAAAATGAAGCAAATACAAAAAAAAAACATAGAAAATAATTGGTCTATCTGTGCGGAAATAAACATTGTAGAAAGGAACCTGAGCCCTGCTTACCACTGAAGTATAGGGACATATAAAAAGTTTTGTTATTAGGCACAATTTAAAAAGTTTGGCTCCAGGCAACAACTCTAGGAAAAACTGTCAATGTGGGCCTGAAGCGATTACTGCCACATCATTAACTTTGTGGGAGATTTATTTTTCATAGATTTTGTGAGTACTTTATTTTAGTTTTTGGTCGTTAAAATCAGGAAAATTAAGCATCATGAAAATCCATGATTTTACAGTAAAATAAATTCAAGAGTGTTTGAATCAGACAATCTATAACTTCATGTGGATTTGTTGCAGAATAAATGCCTTGGTTGAGCAAGAGGTGAAGAGAAGAATGTTTGAGGAAAAAGTAGAGCGAGAGAACAGAAGGAAAATGGAACGAAAGAAAGAACAGGAAGACCGAGCAGAAGAGATACAGAAGATAAAGGAACAACACAACCGCGAAGTTCGCCAGCTGAAGGCTAAGCTAGAGAAAATCAGGTACGGTGTTCTATCAACTTGTACCTGTTGTCAAGGTCATCATTTACTTTCAGATTTAGGTCAGTAACTTATATTGCAAGACTGTTTTTAATTACTTTGATCGATAAACAAAGTACCATTATCCTCTGCTTTGATAACATATTTTGCTTGGTTTCAAACTATTGATTAAATCTCATGTATGTTCTAATATTCTTTCAAACTGTTATTATTTCTCTAAGATACTTTTACAGTACCAGGATAAATGATATTTTTTACAACAAAGAGTTGATGTACAGTGAAACCTCACTATTAAGACCACTTCGGGGACTGGACAAAAATGGTCTTAATAGTGAGGTGGTCTTATTAGTGAGGTGGATCAGATTGACTAGCAAGAACCGTTACTCTGTTTGAAATGAAAACTGTATATATCATATAGCAATGCACATGTATATTATTCAACAATTTTAACTTAAAGTTTGTTAAACTGTATATGAATGTTGAAATTCATGAAATGTAAGTGAATTATATAAATGTATATGTTAATGTAGATTAAAAATATCACTGTTGTCAGGACATGTTCAGACAGTATGATTTTGACAAAGATTAATTTTTGTACAAATTTGTTTTTTTAGTAACGGGAAACCTGCAAAGTCAGTAATGTCCAGCAAGTCTAACCCTTACGCCACAGTAATGGTGAGTAACCGTTTGTTAAAAGGGTTTGTAGCATGTCTAATGAAGCATCAGATACTGACCTTGTGTTAAAAAAAGAGAGAGAGATATTTTAAAAGTATATGCTGGTATATTGAAATGGATATATGTAACACCATTAAATTGAATGATAATACAAAATGGTTTTGTTAAAAATATTCACCAAAATGTATGAACTCTTGTCACAAAATGTGTATATGTGTATGGATGGAATTGTATAAAATGCACCATCATGAATATTACCACACAAATATAGTTGTTAACGTCTCTACTTCGTGTTTACTTCATTTAATCAATTTGATGTTTATGTTAAATTCTTTATCATGTTGTTGTATTTCAGTCGTCTGATACAGGGAAGGATGGCACTGTATCACCTCATTGTCACAGTGTAAGTACATACCACTCCATACAGCCTGAAAACTAAACACAATCAGTTGTTTCTTGTTTACAAAATATTTCTAATTAAATAATTAAAAGAAGATAAGCATAGAGACTAAGAACTAATAAGTTACCGAGAGGTTGAACTGGTATGAAGTTATGAAATCATCATCAAACAAATATTATGTGTTTAGTGATGACCTTAGGGTGTTCATTATAGGAATCTTGTCGTCATAAGTGATGGTAACATGTCTAAGTTTAAGGATGAGTGATAGCAGGATGTGTCAGATATTAGACAACAGGTGTATTTATACAGAAAATGCATACTTAAACCACCTGAAGATCCAAAACTTTTTTTTTGAGATATATTTCAAACAATAAATAGGAGCTGTATTATGCTGTACATTGCTAACCAAATGGTGAAATGGTCCGTTGTTCTGTTATCTTGCAAAGTGAAACTATGAAATGAAATTGTATTCCATAATCAGTAAAGGTTTGTCTGAGCTTCACTTCAGATTTTTACTGACTAAGCAACCAGATTTTTTTACTCAGTATAACAAATTTACTGATTGAATTCATTGTTTATTGGTGTTAAAACTACCAGAAATTATATTCTGCACCGTCAAAATCATCATCTGTGTAGAAGGAAATAGTGAGATCTAGAATACGTTGTGGAGGAAAAAAATCACAGCTTAAAAATTTGAATTTGTTTTGTTGTCTTTATAGATTGATACCAGGAGTAGTAGTCTAACAGTCTCTGGTGACCTTAACCTTCTCAAGGTCACCATTCCATCATACCGTCTCCAAGGTTACGGATCCGACCATCATTATGAATATGAAGTGAAGGTTAGTCTGCAGTCTCCAAAACACTGTTTATTTCAAGCTGATGTAGGATCACATGATATCCAGTATTAATCACTTGATTGCTGTTTTTATTACAGCGTAATACATCATATAGCATAGACTATTGTGACATCAGAAATAGTTAATGACAGGATGTCACGCTTTCATCAGATTACATTGCGATATCACAATATAGAGGACACTCAGTGTGATATAGAAAAGTATATTTTTTATAAATATTTGCCAAGATAAGTGATATAAGGAATCTTAATATTCGTTTCCATTTCAAATGTGTTTTATGAGATGGAAACTTATGTAAACTCCTATATTGATTGGATGATTCGGTGCATGACCTCATGTAATATGACCAATTTTGATGTTGGGATAAGAAAATGAAACGATGTCGTTAACATACTGAATTAATTACGATGCTGCAATGAAGACCAAATCTGAAAATTGTGATTCCAAATAGATTTTTTTTTTCTAAAAATCCCAAGTTTTCAATAATTTTAGTAAAAATAATGGTTTGGTGATCAAAAATACCTTAAACGTGACAAGTTTCATCTTTCTTTCAAATGGTAAGTCATATAGGATATGTAATAATTAAATAATAGCTTGTATTTTTTCTTCTCAGAGAAGTTCTTGGCTAAAAAAAAGTATTTCAAACCTCACTGAATGATTGTGAATGTATTGTAAATTTTTAGGTGATAATTGGAGATGATTCCTGGACAATTTATCGCAGATACAGCAGATTTAGACAGTTACACCAAGACTGGAAACGAAAAATTCCTGAGGTTTGTTTGTGAACATAGACTGTTATCATATTTACAATCAGTGCATAATTTACAAGCTTCATGCATTTTATATGGGGATTGATTTAACCAAGCACTTTGAAAATTTTTACATCATGTTTCTTGTCTACACACTTTCTATGTATGAGTAATATAAATCATTGGTAAATACTTATTAAAGAGGAATATGTTGCCTTCTGTAAGAGTAAATTAAGACCATTGATTAGAAATATTGCAATTAATTGATAACCTTGCAAAATTTTAAATGAATCATGTATTTTTGTGGGGTTCAAATATCTCTATTAAGTATATACTTATATACTTATGATTGATGGATATTTTTAATTTGTTGATTGATAATGCTCACAAAATTATTTTAAAAAGAATAATAATAAAATCAAAATTTCTGATTTTACAATAATTTTTCTGTCAAGGATGAGACTTAATTCTAAGGTGATTACATTTTACAGGTTAACTCACTGGTGTTTCCTCCGAAGAAACTCTTCAGTAGATCTGAGAAGGTGGTGGCAGAGAGACAGAAACAGTTAGAGGTTTGTTTAACATTTGTTATGGATACTGTCTGAAATGATAAAAGTTGTTTTCATACAGTTAATGCTAAATAGTGATGTAAATTCACCCTTCAAAAATCTTTTATCTCATAATTATACCTGACCAAATGGAACACTACAAATATTTAAGATTTTAAAGGGTTGAACTCTTTGGAAAAAAAACAAAGCAAAGCATACATTCTGAAATCTTCATGTAACAATAAGATAGCATATATTCTTAAGTCCTCATGTCACAAAAAGATGGGATATATCCTTAAGTCTTCATATCAGAATAAGATAGGATACATCCTTAAGTCTTCATTACAATAAGGTCATTCTTAAGTGTCACACAATAATGTAGTATACATCCTTAAGTCTTCATGTCACTGAAAGGTAGTATACATCCTTAGGTCTTCATGTCACAATAAGGTAGTATACATCCTTAGGTCTTCATGTCACAATAAGGTAGTATACATCCTCTTCATGTCACTGTGTTCATGGTCTTCATGTCACAATAAGGTAGTATACATCCTTAGGTCTTCATGTTACAATAAGGTAGTATACATCCTTAAGTCTTCATGTCACAATAAGGTAGTATACATTCTTAAGTGTTCATGTAACAATAAGATAGCATATATCCTTAAGTCTTCATGTCACAAAAAGATGGGATATATCCTTAAGTCTTCATATCAGAATAAGATAGGATACATCCTTAAGTCTTCATGTCACAATAAGGTAGTATACATTCTTAAGTGTTCATGTTACAATAAGGTAGTATACATCCTCAAGTCTTCATGTCGCAATAATGTAGTATACATCCTTAAGTCTTCATGTCACTGAAAGGTAGTATACATCCTTAGGTCTTCATGTCACAATAAGGTAGTATACATCCTTAAGTCTTCATGTCACTGAAAGGTAGTATACATCCTTAGGTCTCCATGTCACTAAAAGGTAGTATACATCCTTAGGTCTTCATGTCACAATAAGGTAGTATACATCCTTAAGTCTTCATGTCACTATAAGGTAGTTTACATCCTTAAGTCTTCATGTCACTGAAAGGTAGTATACATCCTTAGGTCTCCATGTCACTAAAAGGTAGTATTCATCCTTAAGTCTTCATGTCACTATAAGGTAGGCGGAACATGCATCCTGAAGTCTATGATTTACATGTTGTTAATTTTGTTTACAGTTGTACATGCAGAACTTCCTGTCTATCTGCCAGAGGACGCCATCTTGTTCCCTACATTCCTCCAATAACAAATATCTCACCAAACAAGTCTTGTGTGAATTTGAAACATTTTTCAAACGTGGGTTGTTTGAAGTGTCAAAACATGGTGCCACATGATAAGTCAACTTCATCCAAGGATTTTTCTACTCTGTCATTTAAATATAAGAGAATTCACCAGTTGCTTTGATCTTTGCTAGATTCTTGCTGAATTTTTGCTGTGTGTGACATATATTTTATTGCTTTTGCATCACACATCATTCCAAGCAATTGCTGAATGAACGGTTTCAGATGCTGTTTTATCACTTTAAAATGCTTTGACCTGTGTTTGCATATTTTTAAGCAACAGAAATGGCATTGTATTTAGAAGTAGTTTTTTTCTGACAAAAAAACTGTTTCTGATTAAATACGAAATAAGATATAAATAGCTACAATTGTGGAACAGTCAAACCCATTTAATGTGATCTTCAATTTTCCATGTAGAAATATAATTCATTGTAAAAATTTTCTGTAGTATTTGTTTAACATCCTTTATTTGTGGACTCATAGTAGAAATTTTTCTTGCTAGTCTAGACACTTACTATGGTTTTGGGTAAAACTTCAAGTATTAATATTGATTAAACCACAAAAACAATGTAAAACGACTTGTTCCACATAACATGTTTAGCTTCAGTCACAATCAACAAAGTCAGTTTCATGATCTTATTTAAAAAAACAAAAGTTTCACTTGTCAACATGTTTCAGGGTTGTTGTAGTGTCAATCCTTTTCTGTTTGCAAGAGATATGGAAACTGCAAAAAATCCAAATGAGGTTTTAGAAAAGGGGCCATTAACTGCATATGTGCCTGATTTTTTCACACAAATAAGACAAAGAAATTGAAAAAAAAAGAAACACAATTCTGGCTTTTAGGTAGTATATAGTTATCTGCTCTTGATATTAATTATTGTGTCATGTGTTTGTGAGAAAACAACATAATTGTCAGATGTTAAACACATGAAGGAAAAATCAATATCTGCCGATAAGAGCAGATAACTCTGCATTACAAAAGAACAGAATTTCCGCTATCAGAGTCTGACTCTTTTAATTTGTTTGCTGCTGGGTTATGCAATTTTGAGGTAGGATGTCCTTATAGTAACTGGTTGTTCACAAACTGAACAACATGTGGGAGGTCTGTCTTATGTTATCCAGAGCAGTTGGGGGTCAAATTGTCTTACCACAGGACATACTCACGACAAGAGAGGACAGTCCTTAATCTCCGATTTCTGAGAAACACTAATCGCCATTAAATGCCTTCTACATCTAGAGAACAAATGTACTTTATTTCTTTCTGTGAAGTTTGTAGCCTTAAGGGACCGAAACTGAAACACAATATCTCCAAGTGTTAGTCTGTTCTTATTGTGCTTCTATTGAAATAGAATTCTGATTTGTCTTCCTTGATGGACCTTCAAGGTCTTGCTTGATATCACAGAAATCTTTAAGCAAGTCTTAGCTTGGATTGGAGTTTTTGTGATGTTATCTGTAAGTTTAATGGAAAGTTTCTACTTACCTAGAGATATACTCATTTGTTTAAATTTGTTACGTAGAGACTAGGTAATATATATTCCTGTATATTTACTACATCGTATTATGAAATCTATATTTTTCTGATTGTGAAGTAAAATAAAGATATCTGATAAATCCAGTCAAGTCAGGTGGACTTAAACAAGATGGTGACATTCCACTTGGTAAATGTAGGATTGTTATGCATTATTATTTTATCATTGAGGAAGTTTATATTGGGGTTTTTTATGACAAATTTTATTCGTTATATTTTTTGCATAATTATTTAAGATATCTAGACGTATTAGAATTATTCAAATGTTATGAAATATTTAATTTTATATTCCATATCATATTTACATTTTCTAGTCCCATATACAAAGTATTTATCAAGGAATTATAACAGTTTTTTTCAATAATTTGGTGGAAAAATTAATAGATTTAATTGAAACTATATTAGTGAAAATATTAACATATTAACAAGTTATTTCTAGTATATTTTGAAGTAATTTTGAGATCAAGTATATACCATAAATCCTTGTAAATCCAGTCTTCTCATCTGAATATCCAGCTAGGCCATTTTGCCTTTACTGGTTTCATATTTTGGGGAACTAGGGATATTGGTTTATTAAGTAGAGACAGATTTGCTAATCTTATTTTGCTTTCTGACAAGCCTTAGCTAAAGCCTTTTAAGTGTTGATTCATTGGTTTCTGCACATCAATTGGCCCAAGATGCATCCCTTTTTTCCTGTAATTGGTAATCCAGATGTTTTTTCACGGAATAAAGGTGATTGAATAACTATTGTAGTTTTACTTTGCTTGGTTATTGTATAGTTATTTTTTAAGATGGAGCTTACTGATAAATAACCAAAAATGAGATATTGTTAAAGAGTAATTAGTTTTGTAGCTGTAATTATTACCGGGGTCTTAATTAAAGATTATAGTTTAATTGGTGATAGATTTCCTGATAAAAAGCTTGTTACATTCATTAATGTTTAGTTATTGATCTCATGAAATGATGGTCATTACAGTATTATCATAATTTTTTTGTTATTATTTATTTGTAGTAATCTTGTAGATTCAGGGTACTACTTTAAAAAAATCCAAAAAACTTGAAATTGATTTTTTTGATATGTTTGCTGTTTCTTTCACAATCACATTTTTGATTTCTCTTTATGTGACTAATTTATAAAACATCATCTCATTCTTTAACTTAATCTGATATTCAGAGGGTATAGAGGAGCTATACATACTGAATCTAATACAAGATTCTATTTATCACATCATGTTGTGTGATATGTTTTGCTCCCATTCATGAAAACATTTTTTCTGAGGCAGACAAGATATTTAAAATGGCAATATTATGACTCCAAAGAATATCCATTTTACCTGATATTCTTTCAGTGGATAAGAAGACTTTTGGTATCATTTTCACAGCACATCTATTTTTTTTTCGTGTGACTTTTAATTTCGCATAGATGAGTTGGATAGTGAAATAAAAACCAAAAGCATACTTTGGTATTTAAAGTATTTGTCACTTAAAATGAAGCCAGTACAAGGGATATGAAATTGTTGTGATTGCTTTAAAATTACATTACAGGGTGTTATGTTTGTAAATATTCTTCTTTAAGAGAAATACATAATAATTTGTAAAATAGAAGGGCCTGTTGTAACATTGTTAATTTATTCATACATTGAATTGGTTTATTATGCATGGTACATTATTTGTTATAATTGTGAAAATTTTTAGGTAGGATATACGTGCCTTTTTTCAATAGTGTCATTATTGTGATAGCTGAATGAAACACAGAAATGCCTGGATTTGGTTTTACAAACCATTAACAAATGTCATTTGGGACATCTTTCTCCACAGGAAAAACTTACACTTGGACAATTTTCCAGCCAAACTATTTGCCATAGTCCAAGCTTTGGTATCTGCAGTCTGCTTAAGTCAACCACAATTTTCTTCTTTTCTTCCATGCAAAATAGTTGCTGTACACAGACTTGCCAAACCTCACCTCAGTTGTTCACTTAACTTGTAAATAATTGTTTTTATGTAAATATAATGATAATATAAAGGATTTAAATTTTGTTTTAAGAATTCTATGCATTGTACTGACCCAACACCACAAGTTTTTTCTTGCACTTGGTCCAATACTACATTAAATAAGTGGGATAGGGGATTCATGCTGTGTTCAGCTTGAGGCTTACTCAGAAACGGTACCTTTAGTTTCATGTGTCGGGTCATACACCATGATGTGAACAAATTTTTGTTGTCTGTATATGAGATGGTTTTCAGAAAAATCGTAGAATATCCTTTAGTAAATATGTCATTAAAAATATTATGTGATGTTTGATATGTTATAAATACATAGATATATATATATGTATGTGCTATGTGTTCATGAGGAATACTCAAAAATCCATGTCTTATTATTGATATATATCTCATTGTTTTAACTTGATATTTATTACTGTAAATCCAGAAGCTTGTATGTTATCCAATGCACAAATCATATTGTTGGGTCTGGTTCTACCAACACATGACTATCATCTTACTATAATCAGCATACCTAGCTGTTTAATGGCATATTCTTCAGTTTAAAAAAATATTTCCTTTCAGGAACATGAGGTATGAAATTAAAGCTGATTTTTTTTTCAATATTGGCAAATTAAACTGAAGCCTTTTCACATCTGATGTTTAGAAAATAGAATTATAATTTCAAGCAGTAATAATTCAAAGAACATTTACACCTCATACCTAGTATTATAAATGTATTTTTGTGTCTTATAGCAAAAGTATAAGATGTAGAATTTTTCAAAATTTTTAACTGAAATAACTTGTTTCCGTACTTCAGTTTATAATAAAAAGATGTTCTTCACATTTCACACACAAGATTTCTGTTGAGGTGAAATATTTTGTTTAAGTTGATATGGGAAGAAGGACCTATATACATGCATATACCATGTAATGGTGTGTTTCAGTGTTTCTACATTATCATATCTGCTATATATGTTACCCATTCAGCAGATAAATGTTCGTTATATTGTGGAATATTAAGATTTGAAATATTACGTTTTCAAAGATATATTAAAACAACCACTATGCCTTATCAGTAAAATTATTCGTATATTAAGAAAATAAACTTATAAAGAATAATATCTTATTTATCAAAAAACATATCATCTGTATAAATATTTTTTCAAGAGTTTATTGTGATGAATTTGTATATTTGTTTGGAAAGACCAAGAAAAAGTGGTTATATAGAAAAATAAGGTAAATTTGATCAGAAAAATGTTTTATATATACCGAGGTTTAGATCCCTCATGTGTTGTTTACTCTTGTTTGTCATCGTTAACTTTTAAATTTTTTCATAAAGGTGTAAAATTGTGATGCAAGATGTTTGGCCAGGTTAATTAAAAAAAATAGGTGCGGTTAAAAAATGGTTGATTGGTTAATATTTTGATTTCAACTGTATCAAATAAAAAGTGGAAACATATACATAAGTTTTATGTTGTTCAGTCCATCATTACACGTTAATTTCAGAGATGTTTGCTGCATCAATGATATGTATTAGTGTTGTGTTGATATGCCTCTCCTAACTGATTTAAAACGTTTATATACTCATCATCACTTATCACTTTGGAATGATGGAGTTCATAAATTCAAATATTCAACATTAGATATCAAGTAACAAGTATAGAGTTTATTTCAAGGAACAACTTTTCAAAAGGTCTACCTCATAGATGCAAAGCTATTCTGAAAAAGGAACTTCAAGATATTTTCTATTTTGAATTTGGTATCACTATTGATATTACCGGACATCAAGTGCATTTCACATTATCTTCACTGTATACATGGTGAATGAATTTCATCAATCTTTGACAATCACTAAACCAGCATTTGATAGTAGGTGGTATTTTTATGTGCATTTAGTACTGGTAATGTAAAGTTGGACCCGAAAAATTGTCTCGGTAAGACAATTGTTCACAGAATTCTAGCTTGTCTCTATACATAAATATGGATTTTTTTCTCCTGCTTGACGTAGCCATGTTTTTCGGTTTGGGTCAGGCTGCAACAAGTGCCTTGTTCTGCTTCTGTCTGCATGATTATTTTCCATTCTCAGAGCACTTTCCAGTAGCATGCCTCTTTATTACACTAAATTAGGTTTTGAATAGTCCATTACTTTGCTGTGAAGAGACCAAGGATCATTACACGGTATACAGCTAGCTTCTCTCAGCCTTCACTGATCATTATTTTAATAGCAAGATGTTTTGCGATATTTTTGCGGAATAACACAGCTTTTAGAAAGTCGCCTTAATTTCTGTGTGAACTTTCTTTTACCACGCTGTCTTTCTTTTATTGAGGACCATTGTACAAGTATGAAATTTCAAATTGGATTCAAATATCAGAAGATGAGTATTCTGATAACTTGTTTTGACATAGTTTCATTGTCATTAGCGAATTGTTTTCTCTCAGCTTTTATGAATTAGGTATATGATTTTCGAGTTCTATCTATTCCATCTTATATTTTTCATCTGATCAAAAAAATATCATGCCAGCATATTGTGTTTCACCAAGTTTGACTACAGTTATGTGATGTAAATTTCATACATTTTTAAAGCTCTGATGGAGAATTCATTTGTCCAAAAAAAAAATTTTTCCGAAGATGTCCACCCAGTTTTCAACTAATTTCTTCTCCTTATTCTTGTTTTGGGATCTTTTTCAAAAGCATGAAGCACTATTTCCCATATGGCATTTTGACACAGCAAGGTTTGGAAGAGTTATTGCCCTTTGTTCTTTTCATCACTTTGATCATGTCTGTAGATCTTATTCCACAGTTTTTAACCACTTCTATTTAACTTGACAAACCTTATCATGGCGTGAAATTTTGCATTCTCATTTGTTTTTTCTGACAAATATTACAAGTAACATTTCCATGTTTATTTCAATGCGATCATGTAAGTTTCTCTTCAGCATTGGACATTTGAATCCTGCTCTGCCCCACAATACTGATGTACACGCTTGATTGTCCTCGGTCAGTAGAAAAGATTTACTTATGTTGTTCATTTCCAGCAAAACACAGTTAAAATGAAACATTTGAATGTATCAAATAATTCCTGGAATAAATTACACAATATCATACCAACATACTTGTCTTGTTCATTTTTATGCTTATTTGTTGATTTTTGAAAATTGGTTTCATGGTTTGTGTATATGTAAAAGTAAGATACAATTAAAATGAAATATAACAACCTGCAATGAACAATTTCATCTTATGACAATTTTACAGTGAATTTTCAGTCCTTAAAAAAAGGCACTGTCATAGCTTAACACTTTAACCTAACACTTCATAAAAGAATTGAAGAATACTAGCTTGCACCTCAATTTTTTTATTCTCTTTCGAAGTCACAACATCTGTTTCACATCCTATTCTCTAAATAAGGATCAGTTTATGTTTCATTATTATTTTTTTGTGGTTTTGTAGAGTCCAATGGTGTTGATGTTGTTGAGTTAGTCTAGTGATAACACTGAAATCCAACTTCTGGTCTTTATGTTTTCTTTAAAATGTATATATACATTTATTTACAATGTACATCCATTTATTTACAACATAGTTCAGGAAAAAGCCTGAGTGAGCAGGCATCCTGCCAGTGGAGACTATCTTCTCTGTTTTAGCTGTTAATGATAAGACGTTGGAATATTCCTTTGCAAAAATAAATGATTAATCATTACCTGCCAAATCCAAAATGGCCACCCGGAAGCCATTTTATTTCTACTGATCAGTCCCAAAATCAAACAAGCAGAAGGAGAGACCAAAGGGAACATACATATGAAATTTGAGAGATATCCATTCAGTACTTTTTAAGAAATAACAATAACAATCTTTACTAGAAAAAATCCAAGATGGCTGCCTGTCGGCCATTTTGTTTCTCTGATCAGCCCCAAACTCAAACAGTCACAACAAGGGACCTAAAGGAACTTGTATAAGAAATTTGAGAAAGACCAATGGAGTATCTCTCAAGAAATAGTGATAACAAATTTTCGAAGTCAAAATCCAAGATGGCTGACTTTCGGCTATTTTTGTTTTCTGATCAGAACCAAAATCAAACAGTCACAACAAGGGACCTAAAGGAACTTGTAAAAGAAATTTAAGAAAGATCCATTATGTGCTTCTCAAGTAACTTTCAAAGTCAAAATACAAGATGGCCACCTGTTACCTATTTTGTTTTTTTGATAAGTCCCAAAATCAAATGGGCACAACTAGGGACCAAGGGGAACCTACATATGAAATTTAAGAAATATCCATCAAGGACTTCGAGAAATAACAATAACAAACTTTCAAAGTTAAAATACAAATTGGCTGCCTTTTGGCCATTTTGGACCACAGATGCAGAGTGAGTTGAATAGCCCACCATCTGATGATAATGGGCTAAAAAAAAAAAAAAAAACCTTACATTAAAATATGTAATGTGTATCACCAGCTTTCAGCATATTTCCATTAATTTTATTAATAATAATAATGGATTTGAACTGCTGTTCATTTCCTCTTCAGGTCTGTTGAATCTTTTGTTGTGTTCATTTAGAAAGTAAACAGATTCAAGATATGTGCTTCAGTAACATTTACTTATATGTAACGTTTCATTTTTATAGAAAACCTGAAATCCATTGTGTGGTAACGCATTTTCACACATACATTCACAATAAAAAATAGTGTAAACATGCAGTTTTATACAATGAGTTGTGTTGATTGCTGTAATACTAGCAAATAAAGGGCCTAAATCTCATAAAACTTTTAGATGTGTGTTACGAACTAGGAAATAATTTAAAGAATTTTTCATTTAGCCATACTGCATCTAATTCATGTTTTTGTTGACAGGTGCTTCATCACTTTTGTGCCTTTGTTTATTCTTTTGTAAGTTGTCATAACTTACACATGAACATCTAGAACAGATAGTAATCAGAAATGCTTCACTACAAGAGAGACACTGAATTCAGAAGCTATGTGCATTTCTCCTAGCCAACATTATATTCAATACAAGTGTAAGAAAGTACACGCTAGTAATGATATTATGGAAGTGTCACAAAACCTGTTTTTTTCACATCTGACAAGAAAACTGATTTCTCTTGACCTAAGGTATCGGTGTGCAATAATTTGAGCAGTAACAGTTCATCCAATAAACTTTTAAAATTCCTAAACTTTCTAAATTTAGATTTAAATGCACATGCAAATTCATGTCCGAAACCAAATATTCTGAATTAATATGACATCATACTAAGATTTACGTTGGAGATGAGACTCTTCTTTGTCCAAAACGAACGGTTTTAGTATTTTTGTACATTTCCAGTGTCTCTGTAATGTTAAATCCTTTCAATATTTTCACCTCGATTTTCAGTAAGAACTTTACTTAGATGTTATCATTCCATGATTGTTTCTATATAATACCAATTAATTCAACATAGCCTATGAACTATATTCTTTGTAAAATACATGACCAAATGAAAACAAAGTCTGCTTGCTTTACTATGAACATTTATTATAAAATATAAAATGTGCTGCATTTTACAACCACATAGTACAAGATGAGCACTCTAACAATAAATAATCATACGTCACAGCTCCTGACAACAATGTTCATACAGACTCTCACATAAGAAGCAATTGGCAATGGTTAATATATATATATTCTTGTTACTATCAGAACAGGTCGTAACTTTCTCAATCATTTGTCACCAAAAATGTTTGAAATGAGACTGACATTGGTAAAACCTTGTCAGAGTCTAAAATACAAAAATTAAATTCTGTATTTAACTTAAAATTATCTTACTCCATTCTGACTTTTTCACATATACAAGAAACATGAAGAGGTTGGACTAACTTTCTTCAGATTTACACACAAACTCACATCCTTACATACAATAATACACAAGTTCAACATCGTGCAGTGGAAATGCTTTATATATCATCACCATTGACGAGATATCGGGTGATCTCCATCACAGTTGTTGCTCGTTCTAATGGACGGTTTTACACTAATCTCTTTTCTACAACATCACAAATCGTTCCAGTATAGACAGGTACATGTCAGTCCTCTTTTATAGTCTTGGAACACAAGTTAGCAAACTTATCATTGTTAAGAATCATTTTAACTGCATCCTGGTAATGACTGTTTCCTTCTGTTGAGGTTACAGGAAAATACATTGTCATAGAATATCTTGCGTAAGTTTTCTACTGATATGTATGATATCACAAACTAGTACCTTCGCTTCTACAATATGGAGCCACGACCCTGATATGGAGCCACGACCCTGATATGATGCTTGAACATTTGAATTCTAAACCAACCTGGAAGAAAATCAAAATATGTTATGCTTACATCATGAAAACAGCTTAAAAGCGAACAATCTGACATGCCACAAAAGATTTTTCTAAATGATTGATAAAATCCTCCGAGAAATCTACACTTTATCCCGACAACCAAATCTTTTACCTTTAAGTCATTAGGGTTGTAAACAGTGAGGTCCTATTACATCAAAGGAGACTTCTTTGGAATCAAAGGGAGAGAACTCTACTTCTGATGAGAGCATAAGTTGAAGGATACCACCTCGAGTGTCACGTAGATTTACAAACTTGTCAATCTCCGCCTGACGGACCTGATGATAAAAAAGAAGTCAACATATTATAAACATAGATATATACTTATGTACTTAAAATTCGTTGAACTCCTGTTGTAAAATGTACTGTTAAACATGTGCATGTATGCAATGTTAATGTAAGGTTCATAAAAGTTATGTTAAGTTTCCTGAACTGTTTTACTTAAAATTGAAAATAATAAAAATTTTAGCACTTGTGGTCCTGCTCCATTGATTTTTTGTATTATTTCAAGCCATTACGAGCTTCCTCAGGTGCCCCCTCGGCATCAAAAATTTACATTGTCAGCACCACAGCTCTTAAAAGGGCAAAACAGCTGTACGATGCAGTTAAATTCTTTATTTGGCTCTACAGTGTATTGTGTCTCATTCAAATGTTATATTTGAAGGCAATATTCACTTGTGTGTCTTCAGTAGGCCAACAATCTTTATTAAATTCCAAAGAGAGTACACAAACCTGTTCTGCCTGGAAGTTGCCTATCTTATATGGTGGTAATGTTGTGGTGTGTAGTAGGGGATACACAGACTCTTTTATCACATCCTCGAATAGTTTCTTCATGTATTCATGGTCACGCTACAAATATTCAAAAGTCATGATGAATACATCGAAACATTCATGAATTCTGAACAAAATATATATTTCTTACTGAATAAATTTTAATTCCCACGATAAAATGATAATCATTATGTATATCTACCACTTTAAATAATGTTAATGTGTGAAAAAAAAATTAGAAAAAAAACCATAAATGATAAATATAGATTGTATATATATACAATAATAATGCCAATTCTCATTTCATATTTTATAACATTTTTGCAACAAAATCATGTTGTCCTGCAAATCTTCTAACTTTTAACCTTCGTTAATTTAACATTATCTCCCTCCGTGTTTACTGAAAGTGCTGTACAGTATTGTTCTATTTTCATGCCAAAATACAGATAGAAGGTTCTTTAACATAGGTATATATGCATTCCTTACTTATTTCAGATATATATTTGAGTTTTAATAGTTTTTAAAGTCTTACTTGCTATATTAAGAATTAATACTTGCATTTTCTACTGTTCTCCTAATTACAACTTCATACCTATACTAGCCTTTACAACAACTGTAGATGATGTAGTAACTTGTCACGTGATTCATCACAAAATTTACAAAATGGTGAGAATTTCAGGCAAGAACGAAGCCATATTTAACGGGTGTGAATATTATAAGTTATGTTACAGAATTTAACCAGGAATTAAATTCAATCCGTTCATCATGAACAGTTAGGTATCAATACAACCATCCGTAATGAGTTAGTGTTTCCAGTTAATTTTTGTGGAGATATACAACAAAGATTAAATTAGATTACATGGTTTAACACAGTGACCATTCATATCAATGAAGATTTGAATTGAGAATTTTACTACATCATGTCATATCACCACCCACATAAAAATAAATACACTCAACATCATCAAAGCGTTTACAAACTTTGGTATCTGACTGAATCAAACTAAATGTTAAGGGGTTGTACCTCCATGAGATAGGAAATCTCTCCATGTTCTTTTTTTTAAATATTCTCAGAACTAAATATCAAATCAATTCATGACCTGAATCTATCAATATGGAACTTACTATTTTTAAAATCTACACAGCTACAGATATTTTCTCCGCATAAAAAACAGGGCAAATAATGAAATAATAATAAACCGCAGCGAAGCACACACAACTGATAAATACGACGGTAATGATAAGTGCATGTACAACCATGCTATCACCTGTGTGTTAGTTACATCACAAAACCAATAACACCAACAACAAAAAAATCATACATGCAGTTAAGACAACATTTTAGGCAAATGATACTTACAACAAATGGTAGCCATGCACATGCATGTCAGGTAACAAATGAAACGGATTGAAAAACAATGTCAAATTTTAAAATATTTTTCAAAAAAAAAAAAAAAAAAAATCATGGAGCTCCATATTTTCTATCTCCACTGTCATACACTACACAACAACATTATGTGTATATAACATTATAACAATATTTAGATAAGAAGAAGAACAAATGAAGTCAAATTGTCTAAAGGAAAAGAGATTGCTTGCATTTCAATGCATTTCCTGAATGAAGCATTTTACATTGAATATTCCTACTTGGCAGTTTACAGCCATTCAGGTTTTCTTAATGATCTCTTAGGAATTGTATGCAGAACATACTTCAGATAAAAACACCATGTTTCCAATTAATCATAGTCTTTTAACCTAAGAAAGGAGATAAGAGCACACAGAAGAAAAATCATCATTAATTTTTCGTTTCCACCAATGAGAAAGTTTTGAGAACAAGAGGCCAAGAGGGCATGTATCGCTCATCTGGATATTCAAGTCAATAATGCAAAACTTAATATTTCTTTAGAAGGAAACTAATTCCCCTGATGAGCCTCATCCCACAAATACAGCTTTACCTTGGTAAATTCCCTTGGGGTGGGGACAGAGATCAGTTTTTAATCTCTTGATGAGCAGCAATGCTATTAAGTTATGGGATGGTAATCTCAATGACTTCAATGATATAATCTGTCGTTGAGGTGCATTAAGATACTTAACGATACCCCATTAGTCATTCTATCAACAAAATTCATGTATCTATCTGTATTTCCCTTTCCTTTTGTTTTTCCTCTTCAGTTTGAACTTGACAGAGTAACATATTTGTACTTAAAATTCTGGCCTCATTTGTATTGTAACAAGAGATCCCAGAGGGATCTTAGCGCCCGCCATTGTTTGGTTTTATTTGCTCTTTGTAAGTTGGATCTTTTCTTTTTTCCTCTCTTCTCTGTTTTTGCTCTTAACGATAAGAAATTTACCTGCCATATACAAGATGGTTGCCTGGGAACCATTTTTTTTATCTCTGATCAGTTCCAAAAATCAAACAGGCACAAGTCGAGACCAATGGGAACATATGTATTAAATTAGAGAGAGATCCATTCAGTACTTCTAGAGAAATAGGGATAACAATCTTTACTCAGCAAAATAGAAAATTGCTGCTTGTCGACCATTTTGTTTTTCTGATCAGTTCCAATCTCACACTGCCACAACTAGGGACAAAGAGGAACCTATACATGAAATCTGAGAAATATCTATGCAGTATGTCTCAAGAAGTAGCGATAACAAACTTTCAAAATTGAAATCCAAGATGACTGCCTGTTGGCCATTTTCATTTTCTGATCAGAACCAAAATCTAACAGGCACAACAGGGGATCAAGAGAAAAATATATATGAAATTTGAGAAAAATCTAAGCTGCAGTTCTCAAGAAATAATGAAAATAAACTTTCTCAGTCAAAATCAAAGATGGCTACCAGTCAGCCATTTTGTTTTCCGATTAGTCCCAAAATCAAAAGGGCACCCTAAGGAACAAAGGGAAACCTATGTGCTACCTGCTGATGATAGGCTTATAAAATACAAGGAATTTGTTATTCTAAGTATCTACCTGTAATCTGGCCTCATTTATATTATAATCAAATGCATGGAGTTTATTAAAAGAAGTATCTACCTGAATCATTGGTTACCAAGGCTACCCATATACATTTAATCCAGGGTCATGCAAAACTTTCTCCAAAAATATCAACATTATAAAACAAACATATAAATGCCCTCTACGTTATATATACCATACTAATTTTACAGTTTATATCAAACATGCTTATCCACAGTCTACCAATAATGCCAACTACTTTTTCTAAGCAAAGCATGTCCATTAATATGCATTAAGTCTGGTCAGCATTGTCTACACTAGGCAAAGACTAGACTATTCACCTGGCATACATATTCACTAAGTCAAGACTGTGCACCTTGGCTATTTATACAGTAAGTTAATACACCTAGCCTATATTTACACAAAGTCAAAACTTTGCACTTCACTTATATATTCATCAAGTCTATACTGTACTCTTTGGCATAAATATCCATCAAGACTTAAGGCCTCAATATATCACTTTTCAGGTTGATAAATCATTGTATTCCCCTCCAAACAGGTTGATAATTGTATAATATCAACCAAAACTAGATTGAACACCTAGTATATTTACACCAAACAAATTTCTTGAAGCACAAAGGGAAGTCAGCGTGATGTACTACTTTCTATATATGTAACAACTAAGACAAGGCTGCAAATCTAGCATGTACAGGTATGATATTTGTACTCAGGATTGACTGCACACCTAGCATATACGAGTATGATATATGTACTCAGGATTGACTGCACACCTAGCATATACGAGTATGATATATGTACTCAGGATTGACTGCACACCTAGCATATACGAGTATGATATTTGTACTCAGGATTGACTGCACACCTAGCTAGTATGATATTTGTACTCGGGATTGACTGCACACCTAGCATATACGAGTATGATATTTGTACTCAGGATTGACTGCACACCTAGCATATACGAGTATGATATTTGTACTCAGGATTGACTGCACACCTAGCGAGTATGATATTTGTACTCAGGATTGACTGCACACCTAGCCTATACGAGTATGATATATGTACTCGGGATTGACTGCACACCTAGCATATACGAGTATGATATTTGTACTCGGGATTGACTGCACACCTAGTATATACGAGTATGATATATGTACTCAGGATTGACTGCACACCTAGCATATACGAGTATGATGTTTGTACTAAGGATTGACTGCACACCTAGCATATATGAGTATGATACATGTATTCAGGATTGACTGCACACCTAGCATATATATGAATATATTTGTACTCAGGATTGACTACACACCTAGCTGTATATGGATTTAGACCAGGATTTACACTCAGTGAGGTTATATAAATGAAGACTTGTCAGAATTTTCATATCATTACCGTAAAAATGACTTGACTACTAAAATTCCACTAGATGTACCAGATCCTTGTTAATCTGAACAATATGCCAAATAAATTAAAATATTGCGGTTCAACTGACCACTGAATTGATGGATGAGAGTGTCTGTCAAAAGTCTTATGCTAAAGCCTTGAACTTTTAAATGCAGGTTAACTGATGCAGAGAAATCTACATATATATAAATGGCTAATGCAGGCACAGACGATAACAAGAATTATAATGCCAGAGGAGGACGTTTGATGGTAATTACCATAATTGACAAATAGGATGGAAGGAAAATAGAATTCTGCAAGAAAACGTATCAAACACATTCAATCAATGTGAATACAGAGAATGTGTTATGCCTATTTCTCTTAAAAATTGTGTTCAACTTAAGAAGAAATGATAAAGAATCCAGTCATGATGAAACACTTAACGATACGTTAAACTATGAACTATACAACTTCAAATATTTTGTATATAAATTTTAAACAAAATTGTTCATCTCTCTTACACCGATAAAGTATACAAAATTCTAACCATACTTTAAGATTCTTCTTATTACGATCTAGCTAAAACTAGGGTCCAAGAAATCAATTTGCTCACTTCTGAATCTGACTTTTTTCTTTTAAATTTAAATTTCAATTTTTGAAAGCTAGATATACAATGAATATGACGTGACATATCATGATTGATCACTGGGTAACTATATAGAGATATGATAGAAAATCAGATATCATTAGTTGCCATGGTGAATATTGTGAAAGTAGCTCCAAAAAATATCTAAATGTATGTGAAAGCTCATGGATCAGCATGTTTCATGCCACATCTAGCAAGAAAACACAGCCGTAACAAATCTATACTAGCTTTGAGCCTTCAGAAATACATATTGTGAATTTCAGATGCATTGTGATCTTACAAGTAATTAATTTCAAAATCAAAGAACGAAATTGTCTTATCTTCTGAAATAAAAGATTAAAATAAGAATCTCTCATAGACTTAAGACAAAGTATAGAATATAACAGAAAAGAACTCCGAACTGACAAGAATAACTAAAGTATGGTTCTGATACTCACCGAGTCTGCTTTCTTTACCGTCTTCAGTTTCTTTTGCCACATATCCTACAAAAAACATTAACATAAAAAGCAACAGACAACAAAAGACATCAGCTGGTATGCAAAAAGGCAGTCAACATAAACAGACTTATACACTTAGAAATGTTATCAGAATTAGTGTTACCTCCTTACCTACACAACTTATCAGTATTAATTTGGTCTAGAGGACGATATGATATATGAAACAAGATTATGTGATGTATAAATGAAATTTTACCCCGGTTGAAGGCCTTAATGACCTTTTATGTGTTGACGGGGCGTTAAGATTGTAAGAATAATAATAAAAGAAATTTTAAGACTGTTCTAGGTTAAGACTTTTAACCTACCCTGACAACCTTCATCATGTCAGATTGGTCAGCCACTTGAGGGAAGGTGGTCAACACTGCACTGTGGATTAACTCTGGAAATATATCATTGTAGAATTAATATCAATTAAAAACATCTATCTTATTCTATTTTTTTTCAGCATTTAAAGGAATCAAAATTATCTGATTTTTTAAACAATAAGAGAAATAAAAATTATCAAGTTTAAGTAGGTTTTTTTTTTTTAATCTAGACACAAGCTGGAGATTGTAAGGTAATGTTTTCTGGAAACTAGACAAAGTTGTAGGAATGTCAGTCTTACAGGAAAAATACTCATGCTGGTTGGTAATTATATGGTATTTATCAGTGTTTCAACACTCTTTATATCTACAGTGTTTGTCAGAGATATAAATTGAATAATATCCAGACATAAACAGCATATCAACGACTTCTGCCGAAATCTTTTTTTCTTCAATAAACATAATATATTTATACATGTATCAGTGCCACCTGATGAAAATGGCTCCAACCTCATTTCAAATATTGAAATCTACTTCAGTGAAGATTTCACTTTTATTCTAAAATGTGGTAATTAAAAGTTGAATTTTCATAGTAAGTTTGAAAAGACAATCATAAAAAATATGTATTGAACTTTATGTATATTCAATAAAGATATAAAATAGGTACAAATCTCTAAGTAACAAAACCATGTCTGTATAATTTTTCTGAGGAAAGAAAGGAAACTCCCTGTCATATTTGTGGGTCAAATTAATACATTATTATATAACATCCTTTTTACAACGTATCATGAAAATCTCTCTGTATAATTTGTATGTAAACATCACAGATTTTGTTGAACAGGAAGGATTAGTTAACCAAACAAACATAATTGGTTCACAGACAAAAAAAAAAAAAAAAAAACTCCAGACATTAGGTACTTCAATCCACATCTTGTTAGGAACTAAAAAAAAATTCTGTTCAAAAGTAAAACTAGATGATGTTGCTAATTATTTTCAACTTCAACCATTCAAATTTGTAACATAGAATGAATACTCTATTGCTGTAATTTCTAACCAACAATGATGTATCAAAATACACATACCTTAAAAAAAATTCAGTAGATTCTTTGAATACAACTGTATCGTTACCCTCTAAATTATGATTGAAATCAGATTTCCACAGAAAGTGTGCAATCCTACTTTAATAGTGCTATGACCCTAATCTTACATTTATATAATTCATCTAAAAAGTAAATAACTTATATGTTATATGAAATTGATGCTATTTTCAATGATACATGATACTGTGGTGTTAGCAATCAAACAAATTTCCATACATTGAGTCTACAATAGACTTATGACTTACATGAATATACACTGCATTATAATCAGTGAATGGTGTGCACTGATAATTCTCATGAAGAAAGGTGAAGCTTTCCAGGTACATAAACATATACATTATCTTGATGAAATTTAAATATTTGGTTTAGATATTTCCACCCCAGTTATAAACAACTTGGAAAGGTTGTGAGGTATTAGATCTATAGGATATTAAATATCAGAGCATGTTATGATCATGACACGACATAAAATCAAATTACCTGTACTTGGCATAAATTCTAAAAACAAAAGCAACTGTTTCGTTCACTCGATGATCAGTTCTAACAGTTAAAACACTGAAAATCCAGACTGATTTTACTTTGAACCGAGTATCAACAATAACGAGTGCCGATCTTTTTATAAATACATATAATCGGAGTTACAAATTCACAGAGTTCTGAAATTCAAATCTGTTTGAATATAAATGAATTTCAAATTGTTAGTATTTTAGCATCTGAAGAAGGGAAACATAATTCAAGAGTGGAGTAATTTGATCACAGCTTCAATGACTGTTGTCCTATTCAGTGTTGACCATCAGTATGGTGTAGAAGCTGGAAATGGTTTTATCAGATTCTCATTTATCACCAGGTGAACCTTTAACAGCATCTTTGGTTCCCTCAGAAAATGTAAAGCTGAATAAATCTCAATATTATATATCACGGGAGATAATTACTTTGACTGATGAAATACGGAATCGTCCCTTAAGTCATCTTATGTCAGGAACGTTCTTAAAATGGCAAGATGTTGGGTCATCCAACATTTCCTTGGATATTAGTAAAAAGCATTTATATTGAAGGTATTTTAGAGTGTAGCTGCTACTGTTTGTTTCAGTGACTAAGATCATTTCAGGGTCCTTATGTACCTGTGGAATCTGGATCAATGCGGTCACGGATCAGCTTATCAGCTAGGATCTGTCTGTAGAAGGAGTAAAAAGGCAGCAGACACATACTCCCCAAAAACACATCTGGTAGTGTTCTGTCAATGAAATAATACAAGATGCTTAAAATCATTAACTCTGAAAACAAAATAGAATCAATATTTCTGAAAAAACACATATGATAATGTTCTGTCATTAAATGATTACAAATTGCTTAAAATCATAAATTCTAAAATATGTCATTCCTGAATTCCTTTTCTGCCATACAATCAGTACTCCCCAAAGACAAAATCAATAATGTACCATCTATGTATTTAAACTATATTACTCAAACCTACATGAATGACATCATAATGACAACAAAATCACAATCAGGTGAAGGTTTCAGTTCATTTTATCCCTAATCTGATGTCTTTCTCACATCAACAGGACACATCCTTCATATAGATATCTCAACCATACTGACGATGGCCTTGACCTCTTTCTACCATCAACAGGAGACATCCTGTATACATTGATCTCATTATCTCATCAATTGGGCCCATCTTCTATATAAAGATCATCAACAGGAGACATCCTGTATATATTGATCTCATTATCTCATCAACTGGGCTCATCTTCTATATAAAGATCATGACCTTGACCTCTTTCTACCATCAACAGGAGACATCCTGTATACATTGATCTATATAAAGATCATATAAAGACATGACTTGACCTCTTTCTACCATCAACTGGAGACATCTGTATAAATACATTGATATCTTACTGAAGATGGCCTTGACCTCTTTCTACCATCAATAGGAGACATCTACATAAATATACTAATATCTTACTGAAGCTGGTCCTTGACCTCCTTTTTACTAGGAATGGCTAATTTAACATGAAGTCTTGGTTGCTTGTTTCCTGACAGCAAAGTCATAAAGGCATTGGAGCTTGCTGTAAGTAAAAACAAAAGTTGACTAGTTTTGTATAAACCTTTAAGCATTCTATTTATTTCAAGGGTTTTCCAATATTCAAAGAAAACTCATCATGCATTTCAACCCCAATCAAAAGATGGAAAATAGGACTCACTTCTTCTGGATATTTCTGGGTCTACAAACACTCCCTTTTCATACGGAGTGCCACCATGGACTTCCATCTGATCAAATTGCCTGGAAAAAAACAAAGGCAGTAGTGAAAACACAGTAACAGGATTGAAAACATAAAATACTAGTGAAATTTGATATTTTAGGATGAATGTGGAGGTAAAACAGACATAATAAATGAAGTACAGAAAATAGGGCAAAACATCACACTCATCAATTGAGCCTGGAACCAATGCTGTTATGATGAAGAACCTGGACCCCAACTCCATAGGTTTTTAATCTAGACACATTTCAACTTTCTTTTCATTTCTAGTTTCATTTCTGGTTTCATTTAACACTTTAATTGAACTTTTACTGGTAGCCATCTTTGTCCTGGATGGTGTTACCTACCTGTTGCCTTTGACATTTCCATTGTCCTCTAACAACTTGAGGTGATGCCAACCACAGCTAAATTCTCCATATTCCTCTGTACTCTGTAGCCGAAAATATCACATATGAAATAAGAATAGAGTGAGCTGGGGCTCACATAGACAGACCCTAACTATCAGATCTTTTGATCTCAAAAGGGTTACTATTGACCCATTAACAAGTAGCAAATGACCACTAATGTCTATCAGAGGTGGAACTTAGCATTATTTAAAAAACTAAATCTGTTGAGGGGTTCATAAAATATAATCTAGAACACAGCCAAGATTTTTATTTCAAGGTGGTCAATTGTAACCTTTAACCTTAAGAAATGATCACAGACTTCCAATCCGATGTAGCACTCGATTGTGTGATACATGTTCTGTCAGTCCATGGTGAGAATATGAAATAACTGAGATGTTCCCGAGATGTCTTGTACACAAATCTTTTATTTCAAAAGTGACCTTTGACCTTTTAACCTTGAGATATGACCTCCAAATTCCAATCAGGTGTAAAACTTGATGGTGTGATAATATGCTAAGAATATGAATGAACTCTGCTGAAATGTTCCGGAGATATCTTTTACACAAACTTTTTATTTTAGAAGTGGTGATGTATGACCCTTGACCCTTTTACCTCGACTTATGACTACCAAAATTTAATAATACCTAGGTATGTAAATATCTTTTTATGCAACACCCTATATTGGATGGACAGACAAAGGGAAAGATGCTTGCATACACTCGTACCCTTAGACAAACTGATTGATAAACAACCAAACATACTTTACAAAGTCAGGAACACAAAAAGTAAACAAGTTTTACTATGGAACATGTACTAAAAAAGAGATTATGTGAATGCATAAGATAACAGATCAATTGTTGATATTTAAAACCGTTTTGTATTTCATTTGGTAAATAACCACATGTCTTTTTCAAAAGTCATGATTATTGGGTTTTTTCATCTATCAGCAGCTTTTCAGTGCAAAACTCGTCATCCAGATAAAATAGAAATCTTTCTTACTAATAAAATGTATGAAATGTCATATTTCCTGACATCACTATCTAATTAACAATTTGACAGTTTCATCACAACTTAGTGTACATAAAAAGAAGCAACAACATACAGCATTCAGTTTTGAAGCAAAGAATTTTTTGAAAATTCATTTGGTCAACTTTTATCATGTCCAACTATTCATTGTGTACCCCATTATAGAATTTGCTATTTGTTTTCCAAAGTTTTGATTTGAAACTATCCTTGCTCATTTTAGGTTATGAAACTTGTGGCCAGATTCTTAAGTGTTCCTTGTTATTCAGGAAATCCCTTTAAAGCAATTTAAATGAAGTTAATGGAAACTCAGTTCACTATGATTAACCATCACTCAAAAACCCATTTCCCTATAGGAAAATTGAGGGTAAAAATGTAGCACTTGTGAAATGGAAGCCAGAATGATATTTGTTAACATAAAATCAAGCCTAATGCTATAAAATGGATAATGAATTCTCAAGTTCTGAGCAAAAGTACAGTAATATACATGGATGTGATAGGGAATTTTTATAATATATGTACCACAAAGCAACGTTTGGAATGATGAATGAGGAAATTATTTGATGAGACCATTTTCCCCTAAAAACATATTTTAAATGTTTTAACAAATGCATACATCTATTCTATCTGATACTTTGTGACACTATCCCATGAAAATCTGAGTAAAATGTGACACCAACTATCAACATATCCAACTTATCTCTTATATGGCACAAATTGATTGTGAGTTTTTTTTTAACATACATTGCAATAAGTAAAACAACGTCAGGAGACTGTAAATAGATCAAATGATTAGTATATAAAACTCTTTTAAACGTGGTGTATACACGGCATGCTTTCAAATGAATTAAAAATTAGATAAGAAACATTTTTATCAACCACAGCATAAACTTTAAATAAGTATATACAAAGACACTGACATACCATACCCAACAATATTGTTGTTACCTAACGTTCAACATAATGGTTCAGTAAAAATCAAAATACAATGTAGATTGTATTTTGATGTAGAATGCTTGCACTATGTAGAATGCACACTTGACCAAATTGTAATATGAGTCATTGACTCAAATTTGTTATCAAGTATAATTAAAGACTATTATCATTATCATTATTATTAGATGATAAAATTATTCAGAAAAATATGCATTCATGAATTAATGGAAACCCTATTTTATCTACAACAGACCCATGCTAGGTAATAAGCCTATTTAAATAGGTTTTGTTAAATAGAATCATGACCAAAACTGTTTTGTAATAAGCCCTGGCTATGTAATTAGTATCTTGGCTACTGGGCTTATTGCAGGATAAAACGTGGTATTATCAATGTCTTTGTTGCATGATGCCTGAAATAAATACATGAACCAATAAAAATAAAGTGAAAAAAGAAAAACATGCAAAAACAAGAATATTTAATTATCGATATGTAGATAATTCTTTGTAATAATGGATACTACATTATTGCAGTCAGCTATGGATACCAGACCTTCTAAAAGGACACAGTTGGAGCTTTCACAAAATAAATATAGGTGACAAGTGAGAGATAAGTGTTAGATATACATAAGGCACACAAAAGAGGTTAGTTAACTGAACGAGAAAGGAACATCCTCTACACTACTCACATTTTCTTCATTTTCTTGTTTTAACTGAAGTTACAATACACATGCACAGCTTATATATAACCAGTTACACGAGAGACCGCCAGGAAAAACGCAATGTATGCAACCTAATATGACTAAATTCATTCTGTCCCTGCGGAAAGCATGAATTAAGTTGAGAATGACAAGATCACAATAAACCTACACACATGTCCATTACAAGTTATCTTGTAGGCTAACACTGATGATAAGGTGAGCTCAACCAGAATGACAGGTTAAGATCTGGACAAATATAAGTAAGGGAGGTAACTCATGCTGACCGATACATGTACAAACATAAACAAGCCCTTTTCATATATCTCTTTAAAGTAAAGAACATGCATCACTGTTTATAATTAACAAATATAAACATGCATACCATTAAATCAATAATCATTTGTACCTTTAATACAATAAATGATCATGATCAGTAACTTGTATGAAAAATTTTATCAGTTTTCACCTTTAATACAATAAAGCGCAAGATCAGTAACTTGTATGAAAAATTTTATCAGTTTTCACCTTTAATACAATAAAGCGCAAGATCAGTAACTTGTATGAAAAATTTTATCAGTTTTAACCTTTAATACAATAAAGCGCAAGATCAGTAACTTGTATGTAAAAATTTTATCAGTTTTATTAATTTAATGAGGGAATAAAAAAATGAGAGTTACAATTTTGTGTATGTAGTCATTGTGTCTAGTATTACAATAGTATTGTTACTAAACTATATCATTTCAAGAAGTTCTACACTAGTGGTATGTAACTACTATCTACTACTCATTTAGATGTTGGTAATTACTAAAGTATAGTGATACATCAAGGGAGGACATCTACAGGAATCATGATAGAAAAACATTCAGTTATCTTATTGGCAGTACAATAAATGGGTGGGTTTGACTATACTTTCAACCTATCTTATAGCACTACATTATAGATACATTTTATCATTCAATACACTGATGGAGCGTCATATCCATCACAATGTTGAGAGTCAGCTTATTACTATATCCGGATATAGAAATAGTAATGGCTAAGATTTCAGTAAGACAGAAATACATAACAATGTGTTATTAACCTTATGAAGGATAAAAAGAATGGGCAAGAAAAATAGTGTGTAAGAGTAATCCTCACATTGTTAACAAAGGACACTTTCATATCTATACATACTAATTACAACACTAAATGAGGTCAAATCTGATTCAAGTAATAACCCCCGCCTTGATACAAACACTACTGAAAAGTCTTTTCCTTTAAAACTGATACACAAGTATTGCTCATCAAATACAAAATTTCCTTGTATAGATTTATAACTAATACACATTGAGAAAAAAGGACAACATCCCACAAGACATGCAACTGATAGATTTGAAAAAAAGTGTCTAAAATTGCTTTTAATGAAATACCAAAGTTTTCTGCTTAAACAGATAATCTGAGATCTAAACATCTGATAGCAATGAACATTCATGCTTAATGAGTTTTGAAAATTTTCTATTAAAGAGTGAAGATCAACACTTACCGATCTGACATAGGACATGCAAAGCTCAAACAGGATTCCTATTGACAAAATCACATATAATATATTTATACATGAGCCATTATCTATAAAATATAACAGTGCTAAGTGATATCATGTAACAGAATTAAAACAAATAACACACAGCCAGTCTTCTAAGGTTACAGTGACCTATTTCTCATTATCATAAACACAAATGATTAAATCATTTAAACTTACAGGAAAGTAACCTTATAACATACACTCATTTACCTGACCCCTGACCTACAGTTTACTAGTCCTGATTGCAATATCACTTGCCCTGACATTTCAATCAAATTTTCACTTTTTTCTTCCCTTTCAGTCAACTTTCATATTCCAAAGACACCCATACAACAAGAAAATACCAACATGTCAACATAATCACAATCAAAACCGAATTTTAATAAGACTTAAAACATACCTGAATTCTTTGATTTTCAGTGTCATATAAGGAATAAAAAGCCAAATGGAAGCTTACATTTAAGGTACAATATACTGATATTTGAATTAAAAAACTTTCATTTTTGTGTATATGTGTAAACATTTCTTAAGTATAATAATTACCTATATTTTCATGTGCACTGTTTGTCCTGATGAAAAACTCAGCATGCTGAATTGGGTCCATCTGGGCATACTCCTGAAACAAGATATATATATATACATATACCACATGTCAATCTATTGTATGATATAGAGAAGCCTAATGATTTGTAAGCTCTGTAAACCAACTCATAAAGTGGGCATCATGGAATGCGAGCTTCTAAGAAGTGCTCCACCTTCAAAAGACAGATAATGCATCGCAAGCTACTTATTCTTGTCCATTAACATGTTGAATTGTAAGCTTTTCCTGTCCTTATAGTACTGTTAAATTATATGCTATTGTCCTCAACAGACAGGTAATGCAAGGTCAGTTACCTATTATTGTCCTTAATATACTGTTAAATTGTAAGCTATTGTCCTCAACAGACAGGTAATACATTGTTCTACTCCACTAATACCCATCCTTACCCGACTGTTAAAGTTCCACGTCCTCTGATCCTTGTCAACTGTAGCAACCTTTATTGTGTGAATGTTACTCAAAATCTGAAATATAGAAACATAATTCAACTAACCTTTTTATATCACTGCAAAAAAAAACAGGTGAAAAAAAACTTGTTACCCGTTTTCTTATTTTTGTTGCTACCAACTCTAATTTTTCGTCAACATTTAAGGAAAATGTTACTCTGAATTATTTGTGTTGATTCTGCTGATGTTTTGTTTGTTGGCGAACCCCTGCAGCACTAACACTCTGTGACCAATAGCTTCTTGATATGTATATATACTTGATTCCTTGATAACAGTTTTCCCACAGACAGCATTACTGGAAGAAAATATCTAATTTGGAAAGGATTCCTTAAACTAGAGTCTGTAGTTGATACATAGTCAGTTAAAATGGATGTTTGAACAACTCAGTGGTTTTAAAAAAAAATTGTATTAAGGTCAGAGTTGAGAACAATCTTAATTGTAATCTAACATAAAAGTTTCTTAATACTTCTGACGTCATATATTCCTAATTTGTAGAATTGAAAAATAACTTAAGTGAACTCACATTTTGGCCATCAAATAGACAGACTCGCACATGTCTACCTTTGATTTGCAGACCTGAAACAGAGAGAAATAGATCTTAATAAGGTTATGATCGTTAGGATATTTCATGCATTTCTCCTTTGCTTGTTGTACTATGTAATACACAAGTTAATCAGGGAAAGAAATTTAGATTTTTCAATGGTACCAGATATCAAATTTCATCTATAAAAATTATACAGACATAAAGATCAGAAATTGTTGATACCTGTCTCGATGAAACAAGAACAACATCTTAATACAAGATGTACAATGTGAAACATTAAAACAACTTCAATAAGAAATACAGAATATATAGTGAAAATCTGGTTAATGTAAAGGCAGCCATTTCTCCATGAAAACTAGACTTGTACCTACAACAAGTGTGTTTATAATGTAAATGGAACTAAAAGTTTGTCTTCTGTACTAACAAGGACTGAACAAAGTACAGCTGAAATTTAGCACCATTTCACGATTCTTTCCATTACAGAAGAAAAGCACACACAATCTCAATATGATAAGTCAAACCCAAAAAGACACATCAGGTATGAGATGCAAACAATTAGGATAAGATACTCAGGTCTACATTTTGATTTTCAATATAAAAACTGATTAATTTGACTTCTTCCACTTAATTTTCAGTATTCAATATCCTATTATACATACCTTTATCTACATGTTTTTTTAATGACCAACTCTGTTAAATTAATGAAGTCTTTCTAGAGATCAACCAAAAATCATTCTGATTTGATCAAAAATATAACATTTGAGAAGATTAATTTGATTATTTGACATGGAGAAAGATCACTTCAATCAAAACACTTTATGTTGACCTTGAGATAGTTAAAGTGAGAATTTATTTTATGAAACACATTACCATCTAATTACATATATCTATCTAACTCAGCAATAAAATTTTCAATACATACATCAAAAGCTTGTTCCACTAATTAGAACAGCTGTTTTACTAATGTAGCCACTGCAGTAATTGTAGTCGTATTTAAATCACCCCCACCAGTTACTTTTGGTTTTGGTTTGCCAGGTTTATCGCCTCATGAACAGCCTCGGACATTTTGAGGCAGGTTTCCATGTAGAAGATTTTTTTGCAACCTCAAGGAATACATGAAAGGCCCTTCACATCTAAAGCATTACAGATAGTATCAAGTGTCTTGGCCATGGACTACTGTGGCACAGGACGTTCTGTTTCTCAGTTTCTGAGAAAATCATACCCCACTGAGTACAATGATCTCTTGGTAATAATTACCATTATATATGTTAGTTAGATGAAACAATCAACTCAACTTGACAACCAGAACATTTTGTGTTAAATCCAACCATAAAACACAAGAGTTAATACACACAGTTGATGTTTACTCACTGGGTTCAACTTTCTTGCCTTTCTCATCTGAAGAGTTCACATTTCAATCATTTTATCTCTATTTGGTGATGTTTCAATGTGTAATCATATGTGTCTATATGTTTTCATTAGGTCAAAAGTCAGTCTTACAACATTGGATAAAATTGTTTCTGTCAAAATCATTTTCTAATATCAATTTTGAAAGTGAAGAATTATTTCCCTTTGGTTATAAATTGCTGTAAATTTTTCAAATAATGATTTTTGCGTAGTAAGACCTACACAGATATAACATGTCTTACCTGCCCCAGGAACAGGGATCTGTCTACAGGCTACCACAGACACTATCCTCTCTATCCTGGAGGGACGTGGCCTAATCTGTAAACACAGAAAGAAAAAATTGATCATGTGACAAAAGTTACACATCTCAACTCGCAATAGCTGGAAAATTGAATATCACTAAATTTACCTTTCCTACTTTAGGATCAAAGAACAAGTCGGCATACGCCAGGTTTGAATTTGCTAGTTTGGGTGCTAGGTACCGCTTCATGGTGAATTTGTCTTCTGAAAACAGATATAAATATTGTAAGCAAAAGACTATGCATGGGATAAACAGTAATAGTATTTAAGTCTTATAAAAGGTTCATAAGATACCTTGTGCAAAAGCTTTAAGCTACAGACACACACGTGTAAACAAAACTTACCATCATGGAACTTTGGCCCCAGTGTGGAAGGTCTGAACCCTGACGGCACTGCTCCTAGAGCATGCAGCACATCAGTAACACTAGTCTGAAATATCAGAAAGTATGTATATCAAGTTCCTGGGGACTTCTTCTTATAGACTATCAAGAAATATACAAATTACCTGGCCATCATGTAAATTAACACTGTACGCAGAACAAACAATCAACACAGGTAAATGTAATGAGTAAGGACAAATAGGCGTTACTTTGCATTTTTATGTTTCATATTATTTTTAAACATTGACTTGTTCACCCGGGTGACTTGTTTGACACAACACATTAAATATGTTAAAATATGAGACTTACAAACACTTTATGTAGGACTGAATAATTAAAACTTTAAATCAACAAAACCTACAACAGATTTGCTGTGGTTAGATTTTAAGTTCAGACAGAAAGGGCAATTTGTCTATTATAATAAACGCAGTTTATCATAGATAATATTAGTACAGAAAAGTAGACGAGTTTCAACAACTCCTCTCAACTAGCTAATAGAAATCATTGCAGTACGGCATGCATAAATGTACCAGTATATTTATAAGTAACTACAGTATTCATTTAACGTTTAAAACACTTTTTAGTGTGAATATAATGTAAAAATTTCACAAATATTGGAAGTGGGCTGAATTTATTATACCGTGGTAATCATATTACTTTTTAATTTCACCAAAAAAATGAAATCTAAATTTTACATATGATTTGTCTTTACCTCGGTATATACTGAAAAATCCCTTGTTTATATAGAACTAAAAACCAAAAACTTTCCTTAATGTTACAATTCTTTCACTTGTATCCTAATGACTTCATCATATGTAAACCTATACTGTGTACTGTAAGAGATATTAAACTTGTGGGAAGGTATGAACAAGCCCTGAAGGATGGCACTATTGCGAAAATGATATTGTAATATCTTACTATAGATGACTTAAATTTTGATGATGCCTTATAGATGTACACTATGAATGCTATATATTGGTTGATGCTCAAGTGATGATTTGATACAATATCAAATTTTGAAGATTTACATTGATTTTAACGGTGTTGAATTTTAAGAAATGCAATGATTTTGATACATAGTATCAAATTTCAAAAAATGCACAGACAATGATTTTGACAGCACCAAATGATAAGGATGCAGAGACAATGATTTTGGCAGCACCAAATTTTATGGCTGTACAGACAGACAATGATTTTGATAAATGGTATCAAATTTTAAGGATGCACAGACAATGATTTTGATACATAGCACCAAATTTCAAGGATGCACAGACAATGATTTTGGTAGCACCAAATTTTATGGCTGTACAGACAGACAATGATTTTGATAAATGGTATCAAATTTTAAGGATGCACAGACAATGATTTTGATACATAGCACCAAATTTCAAGGATGCAGAGACAATGATTTTGATACATAGTATCAAATTTTAAGGATGCACAGACAATGATTTTGATACATAGCACCAAATTTCAAGGATGCACAGACAATGATTTTGGTAGCACCAAATTTTATGACTGTACAGACAGACTGGTATCAAATTTTAAGGATGCACAGGCAATGATTTTGGCAGCATCAAAGTTATAGATATTGACCCTGTAACATTTTATGGAAGAACAGTAAGTTTGATTGGGTAATATCGATAGTCCTACAAGGTATATTGTAGGGATGAACAATCATGATAATGATGCATAATTATTTTAATAATATAAATACCAAACACATGTTGTATCTAAGAATGTACAACAAACAGTTTAAAATATCATCTTAAGAAAAAGCAGGAGATAAATTTACATTTACATGTGATATCTATCTTAAGGATGCGCAGGCAATGATTTTGGGCAATGAGAGGATAGAGAGATGATTAAGAATGCAGTGCGATAATTAACACAGGATTTATAAAGGAACCAAGGAAAATGAATCAGAGATGAACAACCTGGAATCCCAAACACAGTACAGATGTGTGAAGGCCAGAAAAATGAGAATAACCTCCACATTATGCCCTTTGAAGAAATAGAAGAAATATGCATGTGGAAATTGAGACAAGGTTGGATTCACCAGAGTAAGTACTTTAAAACTGCCATGACTGAGGATGAAAATATCATTGATTGACGGAAGAAAGATGAAGATGTGCATTGTATGAAGCTTGAGACCTATCTAAGAATCAAATTCAAAAATCAAAATTTCAGGTTTATTATATCATTGGTTTAACATGCATGTGTGGGATAGGCACACAATTTGTCTGTGCTACTACCTGTAATATCACGTTTGCTTCCCCAGGAGAACGCTTACCTTGTTCATTAACTGAAAATCATAAACATATGGGGTATTGTAATGATGATATATTTGACACACAAACAGTGTCAGTGTCCACTACCTGATATTCATTACTGTTTATCTGCCACCACATCAAGGTAAAAAAAAAAGCTGAATATCAAGACACTATCAACTGTACAGTACATGCAACCCGACACCAACTTTCATACAATTATATCATAGTTGTGTTAGCAAAAGTCAGGTGAGATATTGAATTATTTCCTGGTGTCAATATATGACAAAATGAAGGTGAGTCAGAAATCTTAGTCAAATGAAAAATCAGAAAAAAATTATGAATTCAGATATACTATGATAAAATAGAAGACAATGGTTGGGGTATTAGACTAGAGGAGTGTTTGATACATAGATTGGGTGGTCAGTTTGTTAGTTTGGTAACCAAAGTAACCCGCGATAGACAGACACAGAAGTGTCACTCAGAACTCTACCAACAAGGTGCTAATTACTTTGTGTAGCTTCAGTCCTCTTTTTGCTATATTCTGAAAGTCACAATCAACATTGTCTACATGAAATAAAATTGGAAAAAAAAATCAGAGTAAATTTTAAAGTTCTGCAGGAAAAACCCTCATAATATTCTTCTTCAGGATCCCACAAATCAAGCAGCTGAAAAGAGTATGTATTATTTCATGTACACATCTACACCAGCCATGCTCCTCTAGACCTGTCGACATGCAATTACATTAAAAAAGAAACACAAAAAACACCAGGTTAAAATTGAGTTAATTTCTTCATTTCACTCATGTTAATATTCAGTTCATGGAAAAATAATTGCCATTTACTTATATTAAAAGAATTTGCGTTGCAACCCATTGACTTGTTAGGTAATATGACACCAAACTACAAGCAAAAAATAACCATCAACCAACAGCTGAGTGTCAACTTTGAACCCTGAAGTATTGGATTGACATATTCGGAGCATTACAGCTAAAAAGAAACCATGTAACTCCTCTTTTCTCCCAAAATTCCAAAAAAAAAAAAAAATTTTCTATCAAAAAGAAACTATTTCAATCTTGAATGTAAAAATATTTCAACAGTTTAATGATGAAATCTTGCTTATTTTAGTGGCAGGTAATTGATATGTATCAAATATTAGTACTGAACTTGAACTATCGCTACAGTCAACCTTTAAAGGTATGATAAAACTAAAACTCTACCTGAATGAAACATTTCAGATCAACCCAAACATTATAAAATTAAAAGTTCATAAAAAAATCTTTGTGACCAAAATTGAAAATTGAAACAATAACCTTAAACTGGAAAAAAAAAAACCCACATTTACATATAAAACCTATGTGTCACAATGTCCATATCATATAGATTATACACAAAGGAAACGTGTACTGTGTATAATTGTATAATAGTGATGTACACAATGTATGCATGTGACATATAAGGGTGATGATATAATTTCCAATATTTACATTTCCGACCTCTATTTGACCTTTCCAACAAAACTGATATTTACACATCAGTAAACACCAAGCCCGACAACCTTTCCCGCCTAAATGGAATGTGGTTATGGTTTTTGCTATTCCATCAGTTGTCGGGCTGTTCTGTCAGTGTGCTTGACGATAAATATTTTTTTCAAAGTAGCGTAAAAAAAAAAAAAATACTGTAAAATGTAAATATAAGAAAAAATTTCTTTTTTTGTGGCAATTTTTAAAACAGGTATTTCAACATAATGTGCTAATACACATCATTTAATATATCTGTTTAAAAAAATGTAATTTCCACATCATAAACAAAAAAAAAAGAAAAACACATTTTTCAAATAACATCCATATGTAACAGATTCGTGTGTGTATATTGTGCTGACAACTTCTATATATGATGTTTGCTTCTTACAAGTGTTGTTGATATCACATCATGGCAACATCCACAAAAAAACTAATTGGTAATTAGTCAACACGGCAAAACACAAAAAAAAGGAGGGAGGGGGGGGGGCGTAAATTTGGTGAAAAGGTTTAAAACTACTGCGTAACTACTTATCCATACATTTTGAATGTAGAAGATTCCAATTATTGATCCATTAAAGCACAAAGGTATGGAATTCTAGACTACCATGTATATACTACATAGATAAAGTTTTCTTTTATTCTATCTAAAACACGGTTAAATCTAATTCTGCTTATCAGCATTGAGAAATCAGGCACTGGTTTCATCAACATTCCTTTGTCTAAGTTAAGATATTCTTCAATTTCTTATGCAGAACTTTCTCTATCAGATCAAAGGTAGTAAAAATCTTCATGCAAGATTGAATTTCTGAATCATTAAGCTACACTTCATTATTATGTTATTCCTAACAGTATGTTAAGAACTATTAAAGAGGATTGTACAAAAGCAGTATATTACAGATACAGTCCATCTGATTTCCTATGTAGATACCAGAGACCTACAACTGATGTAGTCAGAGTTACTAGGTAAGAACATGCTATTTATAGCACATTACTTATTGTGTACAGGCCCTCTGTAACTATATATAGTTATATAGTCCAATTTAGTTTGTTCAGGGTTTTTTTTTAAGATTTAGTTGGAAATCCTAGCTACAGTCCATCTAGAGTATAAATATGTATATTAAAGTGGTACCTAAAAGCCTTCTGTAGATATTCTCTGATATTCTATGTACTTTTATGCCTAAGATGGATGTGTCTGACTAAAACAACTTATATAACACTAAAGTAGACTATAAATATTACAGTACGAAACAAAGTGACAAGCACGCTCACAGGACACTCATGCATGACTCAGTTGTATTATCAGCCAAGGAACACGGACACAAATTACCACTGTATCACTTACACAATATGAATGAAGTAGAAACAGTAATTTTTGGCTTTCCTATATAATATATTGTTCAGTACATTCTATTTTATAAAAAGTATTCAAGTTAATTGGAAGAAAAGCCAAAACTTAAACTGAACACTAAACAGTAATAAAAACATCAAAATGATTAAGACATAAAATTGAGTCACACATGAAAGTTTCCCACATCAAAAACACAGCCAACAAACTATACTTACTGTAGGCTAGAACAAACAGACACACAAGTGTAAATATCAGAAATCTGAGTAAAATACAACAGTAACATGTAACTACTTTAACATACACAAACCACTGCCTAAATATTCAATATCTTTTGACCCCAGAATCACAAAACTCTTACTTTAAAAAAAATCCTCCAATTTCAAAAGCAAATTTGCTTACTCGACTGTAGTTCCTAACATGGTCATTGAAATATCAAAATTTGTATGAATACATGTAGAAAATCTTGTCTCAATTTGAAACAAGCAAATGTAAAATTTAACAAAGAAAATAATACTGATATTGAAGAAAATTTGAAAGTAAATTCAAAATTTACAAATAAAGCACAACACTTTTAAGGTTTTGTAATCTGTTTAGATTGATATAGAAATGTATATCAGAAGATAATTACAAACTAAGTTCAGGAAGACTCAGAAGGATATATAAAAAAAAACCAAAGAAATAAACAACATTGTTAGGATTACAACGTTGTGTACAAAACAATTTAGTAAAATATATTTTGGAACCCTTAACAATAAAGATGAACACTGAATGTTTAAAACACATGTACTTCCGATGTACACATGCTTTGTTTATAAAACTTGTACATAATTGAAGTAAAAAGGTATGATAGTATGAAAAAAGAAAGTAAAAGAAAGACATACAGAACATTTTTCTTTCTCTCCCTTCCCCCCCCCCCTTTTTTTTCTTTAAATTTGACCTCTGGCAATATGCATAAAGGTTAAATCCCTTCCGTTTTAAATGGACAGGATTACTATAAACTTTATAAATATATGAATCAAATTTATACACTAGTTTTATAATCAATCCACTAGATGAATGTTCTTTGAATTTTTCTTGTTCTGTTCATCACAGAAAAAAATGAGCCATTCATCGATTTCTTTTCATAGCGTTGATAATGCAAGTGTGTGATTTTTTTTAATTGTTATTTTTTTTACCTGGCAATATACAAGAGAAAGTAATGCACTACAAAAGAGTACATGGTTTACCAACATCAATGGTCTATCCATGTATTAAATCTAGAGATATATTATAAGCAAGTCATATTTTTTCTATTGATGAAATTCTATTTTATACATAACAAGTCTTTTTCATTTCAATGAGTGTGACAATTTTTAGTTCAAAAGGTTGCTGTTTTATTCAAGATCAAAAGCTTGAAATACCATTGTACATATCTGGATTACAAAACTCACTTATATTGAAAAACTCCAGTGTTATATTTGTTGAATGAGGAGTTAGATGAGTTACATTGAATTCGTTGTCCACTTTTTAAAAGACAATAAAAATATAAAGAAAGTGGATGCATCAAATTGGAAAGTCTAAAAGATGACCCCAAGGGACCAGTGCATTAATAACACAGCACTAATTTATCTACTTTGAAAATCAGACAACATATACTTCAATATTGCATCCAACAAACTAAAACCATGCTCTTTTTCTACACAAATTGATAAAATACTGAGTATCTTTATATCACATGAACAGTTGACATAAACACACTTTAGCAGACTGTGACTACAACAACTACCTACCTCTTGGACTGCCTTCTTGATCGGTGACCATAATTTCTTCCCACTGTGAAGTGTAAGTAAGACTATAAACAATGTATGTATGGGAAACATAGGACCATATAAATCCACTGCTGACAAAATATGTCACCAGTTAGTTTTCAATTTGAATGTGTAAATTCACTCCAAAATCCATGATGCATGTTCAGAAAAAAGATGTTAAATGTTTTACTAGCTTATCTTCTGTCTATTTTTACACATAGTACAGTTTTTCTTATAGATTTATAAAATTCATTTGTTTTTTCTTCAATTTTAAAGCTTGAAGAGTTTGCTGTTGATATCATGACAGTCCATATGATGGTGTTAATTTCTCTTTTCATGACATAGTCAATTGTGTATCCCCAACGATGTTGTTTTCAGTAAAATTCTGAACACATACCTTTTGGCTGTGCCAGGCTCATCTTCATCTCCTTCCTCTTCATCTTCTCCCTCTGTCAAAATACCAAACAATCTTTCAGACCTTTTTCAGTAAGATTTTCCTCTAAATCAAATTCATTTTTTTCACATTGAATGTAATATCTTGAATATTAAATGAAAATATTCCTATTTATCAATTATGCTAATTATAAAAATAGAAAACCTGTTTAGTGTCATTATTAAGTAAAAGTACAAGAAAAATATCAACATAATACTCAATCTTAACACAGCTTTATTATCAATGATAATACTGTTAGCCTAGACAATTAAAACAAAACATTTATACTAACCGTCATCTTTCTGTATATCCTTGTATTTGTTGTGCATCTATCAAATGTAAAATAATTTTCATGTACATATCAAAATATCTAAAACCCCCGACTCCATGAATAAAAAGCTGGTAATAACATAATCCAATAGCCTTTGATCTTGACTAATTATCCCTGAATATATAAAAACACAGATGTCTTGTAAATGTGAAGGCTATATATAATATTTAATGTATTGGGATTACTGTACACTTAATTTCTACAAGATACAATGTAACCTGTTTGAATTCAACTCAGCATTGCATCATGAATTTTGTAAAAAAAACACCTATATTTCAATTTTTGTTTCATCAGTTTATATTTCTCAGTAAACTGTACCTGTTATATCAAACTTGCTATTACATGTATGAACAAAAGTTAAGATTCAAATTCTGTTGATTTTTGATTGATTTCTCTCGTCTATATTACATCTGGTATTGTATAAATTTATTGTTCTCTGCATACTTTCATACACTCTTATAAATATACAAATTATCTAAATGATTTTTTAATTCAGTGGGCAGTTCGTACAGAAGTATATCTGTTATATATCTTCCTGAACTGATCATAAATGTACAATTTACAAAAATGTATTTTGTGTGCATACGGTCATCATTTTATAGGAAAGTATGAAATACTAAAAAATCACAAATTGCAACTTTGGATTTGAATATACTACATATCACATAGCCATAAGTAGTTAATTTCTTACATCACAACTTCTTAAATATACAAGGGTTTTAACAGACCTTGAGGTAAAACACAAAGTTTTACTAGACCAATGTCGAGGAAGGGCCCCGCATAATACCTACCCCTTATGATTGAGTTTCTTAATATTAAGAAATATATGGACAGGTGTCAAGTAAAGCAACTTTCATCAAAATCCAATTTGGACAGATGGAAGATATATGTACACTCACAATGTATTGGTGATTATACACCCGCATCGTGATGCGGGGCCCTAACTAGCCTAGAGGTAATTGATAAGTTTATTCTACTGGTAAATTGACCTTCAGTTTTAAATAGTACACTCGCAATGTATTGGTGTATACAGAGTTTAACTGGCCTTATGATAAGTAGATACAGATTTTACCCTGACTCTAGAGTTTAACTGGCCTTATGATAAGTAGATACAGATTTTACCCTGACTCTAGAGTTTAACTGGCCTTATGATAAGTAGATACAGATTTTACCCTGACTCTAGAGTTTAACTGGCCTTATGATCAGTAGATACAGATTTTACCCTGACTCTAGAGTTTAACTGGCCTTATGATAAGTAGATACAGATTTTACCCTGACTCTGAGTTAAGCAAATGAAAATTTTAATCATATGTATTAAGAACTGGAAAATTTTAACAGACCTTAAGTGTAGTATTTTGATTTTTTTTTAACCGACCTAGAGGTAAGTATATCAAGATTTTAACTGGCCTTGAGCAAAGTATATTCATTTTTTTTAAACTGACCTTGAGGTAAGTTGAGGGCACAACTCCAGTTTCACCAGCAGCATTCTCTGCCTCCCACCAACCATCTTCCCTGTAAAATATACCTCATTTTACCAGCTGTATTTGTGTTTCAGAACCCTATAAATTACTGATATTTTACTAGAAATATATATGACAGATATAATAGATGATAACTTCACTGATTATTTCTGCAAAAGCAAACATTAGTCCTTCTCATATGTTTTACTTAAAATGATTCTTCAATATTTAAGTAAAATTTGTCACAACATCATGAACCCAGACAGTATCCATTTCATTATTTATCACTTTGTTAGAGACATATTATAATTTTCGTAACAGTTCTTACTTTGTCCTCAGCTCTTAATGAAAAGAAGTTGTATGTGTGAACAAAGTTGAAGAATTGCAATTTTAAAATCTACAGGCAAAACAAACATGAACTAATAAAGACATGAAAAGAACAATTGAAAAAAAATACAACGCTCAAAAGATTTCTGACAGAAATTCATTATCTTGTGATAAAAATCTCAATTTCAACCTAACGGTGAAAAAAACAATAACATTCAACTCTAGTAAAGACCTTACCATCCAGGCAAACTTCAGGTAAAAACAGGAGACAAAATATAGACATATAGACATAGACAAGATTAAAACAATCGTATTTCATGACATTAAAAGTCAATCTGGCAATGTTTCTGAATATACCCAGTATGCAGCAAACAGAGAAAAATCAAAAAGGATTTCAATAGCTGCGATTGAGTTCAACATAGCTTTTGTTTTTTTTATTTTTTCCCCCAGAAAAGTTGTTTAAACACTTTCCCAGTATATTGCTCCAGTTACCTACCTTGTCTGTAAAATGGTCAGGATGTCACCCTTGACAAAACTAAGGTCTCCCTCTGCATCACCTTTGAAGTCACACACAGCCTCAAACTGCTGACCCTGGATATCATGAAACAATATGAGTTTATAGGAAAACCGGAAAATATATATAAAAAAATAGCAATTTATTGTTGAAGACACAACAACTTAGGTATTCTCGCATTATATCTGAAATACCAACACTTAAGATACCTTATTATGCACCAGTTATGATTGTTTTTCAAAAGTGTGTTTTCCATATATTTGTCATTAAGTTATAAATGAAATGTACAAAATGTAAAGCAACATGAAGGTAATTTAAAAGTATAGGTTTGTATCCTGTGACGAGGTATTTAACTTTCCTGTTCATGACAATCATCCCTATTAGCATCATTCTTACCTACTATGTTTGTTAATCTCTATTTTTTGTAACAAAATGTTTTCTTGACTGCAGCAGTTCACTCAGTTACTATGACTGTCAATCAGGTACATACTTACTGCAGAAGTTACACCCAAGTTATTCTCCTCCACTTTTTCCTTCTTCCCTCCTTCATCTTCCTCTTCTTCGTCCTCTTCCTCCTCAACTTCTTCTTCTTCACCTTCTTCCTCGTCCACCTCCTCCTCTTCTCCTTCTTCCTCATCAACTTCCTCTTCTTCAGCTTCTTCTTCTTCCTCGTCATCCTCTTCCTCATATTCTTCATCATCGTCTTCCTCTTCCTCTGCATCTGTTTTCATTGTTGGTGCATCCGTTCTAAACATTTTTAAAAAAATTTACACATATTTCACTTGACTCTGAAGTGATCTGAATTTTAAAACTATACCATTGACATCCGAAGTCTAGATTTTACAATTATTATTTCTGTTCCTTATTAACTGCAGTTTTTGACATGTGACATTTTAATATTTTCCAAACAAAACCTACCTCATTGTTGTTCCATCTGTTTCATATTCCTCTTCATCATCATCTTCTTCTTCATCATCATCTTCCTCTTCTTCTTCCTCCTCTTCCTCATCTTTTTTCTTCTTTGACTTTGATGGACCAGCTTTTGGTTCCTCTGATTCTATTTAGATAAACAATACAAATTAACTTATAACTTGTATAAACTGTAGAATACAGTCTAATTCAACATGCCATTGTTATTAAATTATCAATATATTGACCCCTAGTCATTGGAAATGGATTTCTCTAGTCATCTTCAGATTTCCCTATGAGAAGAAGGAGTATAATAAAATGCAATGAGAAATTTGATTTCTAGTACATTGTATATTAGGTAATACATGTATATACATGAACTTTAGTACCGTAATCTACTTAACTATAGGAACAAGTTATGTTTATCTGTATCAAATAAATGATTTTAAAGGTTTCTATCTTTTTCAGCTGGGTTAATAAATGGACTATCAGGTACTTATTACTGAGAGATAAAATTGTTAAACTGTACTCAAAGTGTAGATGAATGCAACAAGAAGATAACAAGTCTGCCAATCAAATATCAGTGTCTGAAATATCCCTAACATCGATTGTACATCCCCAGTACCTGTTTGTTGTGTATCTAACATCTCTGTAGTCTCCAGTTCCTCATCCTTGCTTTCATCTTCCACTTCTTCCTCTTCCTCCTCCTCCTCCTCCCCTTTCAGCTCCCTATAAGTGGTAATTTTAGTAAATAAATAAATCAACATATGTTAATTAATGTTCATTATATATAAAAACAAAAAGTTATGAGCAAAACACATAGATATTCCAATACCTTCATGTGGTCAAGTGTGAATCTAAATCAACCATTAAATAACATGCTTCACTGCATTTGCCTTTCTAAATGGCATTCTTATCATTTATTAGTGGAAAGCAGTTCTATGCTTAATTAATGTAGGACAATGACCAAAAATTGTTTGGTATGTTTTGTATTGTACAGGAGTTATATAAGCTAAATAGAGAACAGATGTGACAGATTGTACTAAAAATACATGAGCAACTTTCAACACAAAAAAACTACATCTTACAGCTGTTTTGCCCTGGACTTGAAACATATATGTAAACATGTGATCACAATATTCAAAAACTTACTTCAAATATTCTGTTCCTTTTTCATCTGGTAGAACCTTTGACATGGCAGTTTCAAGCTGCCCCTAAAAAAGATTTATTTTTGTTTACCATGAATTTAGCTGTGTGGATGAATAATATAAGTCAATCATTAGGATTTGAGTAAATGTCAATGTAAGGAATACATTACATGTAGTTATGAAGCTTATAGACCTTCAAGATTACTATTTTTACCAGTCAATGTTCCTATGGTGATATAATAACAACATCACACTTTAATTTCATTTCATTAAAGTGTTTCTTTTTTCCTAAGTTTTAGACATGCCCATATGCCAATGCACAGCTTGTTAACACTGTATAATGTGTAATAATGTCAATGATATGAAATAGTAAATATATTAAGAATATGAACTACAGTTCACTATCTGAATTCTGCAATCTTTATTTTCCGTCTTATTCACTCACCATTTTTATAGCCCCTATATTTTCAATATGTTAAAAAATATCACTAATGATACCAAAGTGCAACCACGATATATGTATTTGGATTTCATAAAAAGAGCTCCCAAATGTTCATAATGCTTTATATGTAAATATATACACTAAGGATAAATACCTTCCACACAGTAAGTCTACTAATTTCATGCTTCTTCTTATTCTCAAATCCTTTAACTTTTGGTTCATTTGCCTGTGAATTAAAATACAAAGAATTGTAATTATATATATTGCAATGTTCTTAAAATGATATCTGTTTTGATTATAAAACAAACCAAAGTTTTATAGAGATCATTTAAAAATTGACAGGGTAAATCTCCAGACAAGGTTAAAAATGATAATTAAATACGTATTTTGTGTTATGTTTTAACAGCAATTCATGTAATTACTTAAACTGTTGTACCTATACCATCTTTTTGTGTGCTTGTTATTCATTTATTGCACAGAATGCTTTTTAATATAAAACAAATAATTTCAATGTTGAAATAATCTATTTTCATCAGAGATGTATATATCACACGTGATATATACATCTCTGTTCAAACATCACGATGATCGATTACAGATTTCTTAATCGATTAATTGATCAAATATTTCAAACAAGTGATACTCGATTAACTCAATTAATCGGAACAACACTATCTCTTTGTGTCTCGTTTTGACAGCAAACACCATAAATGTCAATCCCCTTGGAAGTCAAAACTACATTTATTTAATTTCCAGAAATACCTCAACAAAAATATGAGGACAATGATTTAGCACAACTATTTTACAATTCAGACTGAACGCTGTATTTACCTCTTCAAGGGCCTCTGCTTCTGCTAATAGAGTTTCTATTGGCTCGATCAGGTCAAAACACCTGGAAATGAATATTTTAAACCATATTATTCATTATTACTAAAAGCAAGCATTGGCAGACTTTGACCAAGACTTTTGAGACATAATGATTCAAAGCAAACCTCCATGCATTTCTTTAAGTTACATGATGAAAAGTATCTTGCATGGACATCTATGCCACAATCACTTAATTCATCGAAACTTTGTCAGGAATTCTATAACCCAAATAAAGCTCTATTTTAAATTATTGATTCTTTTTTATTAATCATAATAATGACCTTCATGGAGTTGATGTGCAATACAAAAGTAATATTATTCTCTCAAGAAAGAATATAAAGCATAGTAATAATGCTACTAGAAATGATAAAATAAATATAACGAAACCAACACTGGCTTTACCTACACATAACTTACCCTTTGAAAGCTTCTTTGAGTTTCACTTCATCATTTTTCGTCTTTGAATTGCTTGCAGTCTTATTGCTGTCTTTGACTTGCTTGTCAATCTGTAATTAATATGTGTATCATGTTACAGCAAATTAAAAAAAATCCTTAATTTTCTGGGTTTTTTTTTCCTTTTTTAAATGCAACAACACATGATTTCAATTTTATTACATACTAATAAATACATTCCATAAGTATGCTAACATTGTGCTATTTGACACTGACATAGTTTAAATGTAACTCATAATTCCCTAAACCTGTACACCATTTCTCAACTTCTAGCTTAATTTGAACCATCAAAATTGCCTTTCTGGTTGTGCAACGAAAACATTTTGTATGGATTTTTTTAAAAGATGTTGAAGTTTTGTTATGTCATTTAATGAAATCATCTGTTTCATTTGAATTTCTCCTCATACAAGAGGAATAACTCCGGTGTAGTAGCATGTTTGAACATGCAAATAATTATTTTCTTACATATGTAGTTCATATATCATTGATGTGTAGCCTTTATTACACAAGTCGTGGATTTCCTGATCACATTATGTGTATGTGATTGAATAGGGACCAATTTTATAATATTAAAGGATATTTTAACCGCTCTGTGAATATGTAATGAATTTCAAACATTCCCGGTCTTGTCAACACTGAAGCTGTTATCGCAAAAATTTGGAGTTGGATTGCACATTTAATCACTATTTCATTCATTTTACAAAAAGAATAAAAGGGTACCTGTTTCTTGAGTTTATCTGCTTCTTTCTGCACTTTTACCAGGGGCGTTGGATCTTTCGGAGCCATTTCATTCCATTTACTATTTCTTGCTGCTCATTTATCCGCCATTTGCAAACAAATGTTTACCACGTCGTGATAATCCACATATTTTTTTTTTATCAATTTTAAAATATCAAACCATGTGATCACAAAAACACCAATGGAAAAATGTCATGAATAATTAGGATTTTCACGAACATTGTCCAAAATTATTTATCAAAATCGCATCATAAAACGACGAAAAAGAAATGTATATGTAGTATATCACCATATACTTATCTCCCTTTGACCACTGCAATCCGTTCAGTGTCACGGCCATATCTTTTTTGACTTCGTTATTGAATAATTTGTCAACTGTTATTGATGCGAGTACATTGCCTTACAATTCAGAATTGTATTTTTCACTTTTATTGGTGCGAATGCAAACGTTTGCATGATTGATGTATGGGTATGGAGTCTTGTGATAACTTTTAAAATTAATTTGATGACCAGCTTAATCAAGATTAGTTTGTATAATGTATACTATATGTATTTCAAACTGCTTACCTCATCCGATATCATTCACGGTTCAACACATTCGGCAGATCTTTTTACCAGTTTTGACTATTAAAACACGTATATTACATATGTTCGTCGTCCCTGACCATCTGGCTTAAACCATATCATAATTGTGCTAAAAATGAGACGAAAAATACCTTTCACTGCCATTCAAGATCCATCGATGAGCAATATGTTCAATTTCATGACCACTTTCAGACAAAAAGAAGTGCACTGCGCGGCCTGAAAAAATACGATCATGTCCAGGATATGTGAAACTGATCATCATCCATCAAAATGCTCTCTCTCTTTGCTTTAAAAAAGAAAAGAAAAAACAAACTAACAAAAACATCCTGGAGTAAGAAATGAAACAGAAACAGTGCCTAAAATTAATCTCATTTCATGATCAGGGTTTCGGCGAAATGCTTAGCAAAAAACTAAAAGTAAAAACTACCTTTCAAACAGTTTTGGTTTTCTAGTTTAAATGTATTTTACTGCCAAAATAAATTTGAACAAGGGAATTGGGCACAAGTTATTACAACTTATTGGAGCTCTCTCCCATTTTCAAATATTTGCTTATAACGATATAGGTTTAAACATAAATTATACATATTAAGCATTCACACACAAACATAAATACATGTATAAGAATCTTTTAAAACCTTTTGCTGGATTTAATGAAATTTTGCACATGTCTAAAGACAAAATAGTTTAGGTCCTCAGAAAGATCAATACTACCAAACAAAAGAAGCTCTAAATTCAAATCTACTTCTAATTCAGCCAGATTATGAAACAAAGTGCGTCTTTCATTTCTGAAAGTTTGACCCTCAAAGAAGAAGTGAGAGGCATTCTCACAAGGATGTCCACAGGAGCAAACTGGATTTTCGACAAGATAAAGATAGTGTTTAAGGGAACTACAACTGTGTCTACGTTTAGTATGTATTATGTTTAACTTCCGTTCACCATAACTAAAATAGATAGGTGGGAATTGTTGTGTATTTAAAGTAAGTGAGGTTTTAAACAAATTTATGGAAAGCAGTGACCGTTTTCTTTTCTCTTGCCAATTTAAAAAAAAAAACTATCCATTTCAGGTGGAACTTTCTTAGCTTTGGTGTAGAAATGGGCTATTTAGGTCGTAGCTTAGAACTTCATTAGCTTGAATATGAGATTATTTCCCATAGTATATATATCACAATTAATTTCCAGTGCCAGTAACAATATCAAAGCAAAGTTTGAGTCGCAAGATATGCATCCCTATTATAAAACGACATCGTCATATTGGGTACTTACTATAATGTGTCGACATATTGGATATTGAGAGGATAAAAGACTTGTGAAACAAACTCGTTTGAATGTCGGCACTTGTCATTCAAGCTAAAATCAACTTTGATGAAGAGTCGCTTTGAAGTTATTTAAGAATGTTTGCATTTCAACTCGCATAACACGCAATAACATACGTTTAAGTTTTCTCTAGGTAACGTGTTTTTAAGATGTATATATATACAAAATGTATATAAAATTTCTGTGACATCAAAGAAAATTGGGGTATATATATATACATAGCGTCTCCATGGGGTATTTTCCGTTTATCTTTTTATCCAAATTTCAGCAATTGAAAACTTTTAACATATTTCAGGGAAAAGTCTGACTAAGCGGGCGTCCCGCCAGTAGAGACTAGTCTCTCTCCCCCGTCTCTACTGTGTGGCCTCCCCTTTTCTAGTAGATCAAGAGGGATTTATTTATACCAAACGATTAACATTGGTTAGACGTGGCCATAAGTAATAATTTGGTTGTAAGATGGCATAAGTATTAGTTTTGACTAGTCTTAGATGACCAATGTATATCTATTTTGACAGTACGACCAGACACCTCAAGCATATCACAGGTGCCTCAATGTCCATGTGAAAGTAATATTTAAAATTTCTAAATCATATAAACATTTATAGTTCAAAGCGTAGCAAAAATTCATTTGAAAAGAGATAGGTCTGAATCATAACCATACAGTTCTTGAAATGGCGAGACAGGCATACATAGAAAGAAAATAAAGAGCTACTCTTTCATGTATAATTCTTTTCAAAATTGATATAACCTTGACGTTCGTACTTAGTGTCCCTAGATCATACAATATAGCGACAGGACGCGATTTACATTAATTAATTAAAAGTTTACTAAATGGATTAAAGACTCTGTTGGAATCATGCATACAGAGTAACATCATGCACAGTAAATAACGGAAATAGATTGTTTAATATCATAGAATAAAGACACTGTTAACGTGCTTATACGCTTATACAATAGACTCACGACAGACCGTATTGGAATTAGAAGTCTGGGAACATTATTTTTGGGAGCTTTGTTTATGTGGTAGCCCAGACTTGCCAGGAAAATCGCACTCGGCTTCTTTTGAATACGTGTTGAAATCATGCTTCTGTATTATATATATATATAAAACAGGAAAACTCTAAACCGCAATGTCTCAAATCCATTCATTTCAAAACATACTTCTTTAAGTCATCCCAATATAAAGACCTATATATGAAAGAGGACAAATAAGCCCAAGATAAACTGCTCAACTACTCTACAGCATACAAAGAAGATACTGTTTGGTCATAAAAAACATTTTCTGCAAACTTCAAATCATATTCTTTATACACGCTACTACACAAATGTCATTATGACGAACCTATTGCTTATTGAAAAAAAGAAATTAAATCTCAACTCACTTAACCCACGTTTACGTGTTGCACAAGGTTGCTTGAGTGAAGGAATAAAATCTTGAGCCAACACTCATGATTCGCCTATTTTTATTTAATCCTTAGTTTTGTAACTTTGTCCGACATACTCTATGCATGGATTTTTTATAAGCCCGGGTTTTTTCTTTCTATGGAAGCTACGCCCCTGCATGCCAAATATCATAGTTTCAAAGATCGAGTTTAAGTGATCTGAACTGCTGGTGTTTTAAAGTAACCTTTATCTACATCAAACTTTATAAAATATGTATATTTATACACAACGATATACAACTTTATATTTTCTTCTGTGACACGTATATCATGAATTCCACGAAGCACGATTAGTGTTCAGAGACTTGAAAATCAAGTTCACGGCGCGTTGTGACGTTAGCTCAGACACCCTGTATGCTAATCCTACAACATATTATAAATATGCACACACAAAACTTTCAAATAAAAAACGTAATTTGAACAAGTGACATACATGTATACATACATTTTATTTATTACTTTTAAGTTTCGTTGAAGCCATAAAAGTAAATTTGGTGGTTTAAATAAGAATTTTTGACGCACTTTATTTGGTAATTATTTTACAACAGTGTGAATGCGCGACACTGGCAAGCGTATGAAATTTAGTCACATGATCACATTGACCAATGAAAATCGTCAAAAAAGCGTTTTCGCGGGAGAGTGTGCACTCATTCAGAAGAAAACGACTGACCCTGTCAGAGGTGTAAGTAAATGCTCTACTGTTTTATATACGAAGATTTATACAGATGGTCAGATAAAAGTCAGATACTCAAGATAAAAATCATAGAATTTATAACTCAATTCCATAAAAGAGTAAATAGAAAGGTGAAAAATCGATTTCATTAATTTTTTTTAGGAAAAAAAACATTTTCTCTCTCTCTCTCCTACTCCCCCACCCCCTATCACTCTCTCGCTCTAAGTATAAGTACATATCCAAATATTTTATTTTGATGATAAAAAATTGTAAATTTCTATTGGGCAAAGGCTTCATGTTAATTTGTGCCCGATCCTATTTTGCACATTGATCCTAATGAATTATGTTTATATCAAATGTGAACACATACACCACTACACGACACACCTATTAATAAAATAGACTCTACCCTAAACCACGCAATTGACTTTGACATTACCTAAGTTAGTGAAATGTACTCTATTAATACATGTATGCTACCGTCGCGGTACATAGCACGTGCAAAATACGCGCCAAAATGTACTCGGAACATTTCCGTATTTTACTTTCGGAATGAAATTCCTCCAAGATGTCCGAGAGCATAGAAGGAACCAGCCTCATCTGTCAGTACACTTATAACAAGGTTTGTATCAGTAAATCAAATGACATTTAGTACAAGATTAAGATGAGGCAAAACAAAACTGAACGTCAATATATTATGTTGAAGCATGCGAGAGCAAAATGAGTTGTGTAACAATGTGGAATCTACCGATCATGTTTTCTTCAGTTGCAAACTTTTAACAGCAAGGACAGGGAAAAAACACAAATACTTTATTGCAGCACCGATGGTACAAATTGAATATTGGGGGCTCGGAGGCCCATGTCTAGGGTGCTGTTATGGACGCAGTAGAGGTCCTCTTCTGATTATGAAAACCCTGCTCAAAGCTCCTCATATTAGGAAGTATCCCAGGGAGACTGTACTAGGTAGTGATGGAACATTGGTTCAAAATTTCAATGTTGGTGTAACCGATTTGATTAACCGATTAATAATTGGA